TGCTCCTTTGACCACGCAGATCTTTGACCGGACTAGCAAGTATCTTATCGATGACTCGGTCTTTGCCGTCAAAGATGAGCTCCTGGTTGATTTCAAGCCGATACAGAATAACCCTAAAGCGGAGCTTGAGCTGGTTTATGATGTGAAGCTGGCGCCATCCAAGGCCTGACATCTTCGATATGTGATGCTTTCTTTGTTTATGTAACTTCTTTAGTACATAATTTACATTGCCCAATTATTACGTTGCATATTTGGAATAATTTTAGCACTGCTGATGTGCTAAACCTATGGATTCCATAACTAAATTGCTCCTGACTCCCAAGTAAGGGATATCATCCGCATGATCTACACCAAGATGAACAAATAAGTAAACAGGCACTAGGATCGCAAGCTTTCTTATCCTCGTCATGCAGGCATTGGCCGATATATTAATTAAACTAGGTACCTATCATTCCTACTTCATCGGGATGCAGGGTAGGTCCCGGGAAAATAGTCGATCCGGATGTCAAGCAGCCAAACCCTGAACAAACGTGGACCAAGCGCAAATGAGTGCCCCTCCCATCATCTTAGACTTTTCTATTTTGGAATATGTAATTCCCACGCGTATAGAGGTTACTAAGCAACAAGGTCCAGCGTTCTCAACGTACTGGGAAGTCCACTGCTTGTATCATTCCACTACTGCACCTTCTGTTCTCGTGTAAGCCAGAGTTCGGATGGAGATTCCCGAGAAGCAGCTACCAGCTTTGCAAGGGGCCTCGTAAAGCCACATGCAATTTTAGGTTGATAAGGTAAGACGGGAGAATAGATACATGTTACCATCTCGCGTCAGCTCTTGAGCCTAAGCCCCCTTCGGACCAACTCGCATCAAGCGCCAACTTTCAAATTCAGGATAAGCGCCCGCCTGGCGCTATAGCACATCATTTATTGGTCCTTGATTCAGTGCTAAAGTAAGAAAGCTTGACTATGGACAAACCGCGTTGTGGCGCCATCGGGTGGGCGAAGGATTGACAAGGGCCCCCCGACCTGTCTCATTCTCAGCGTCGTTGAGCAAGCCAGTGAGAGAGGATGAATCCGCTCGTCGGCAGCTTGGAAGTATTCGTCTGGCGCGCGCTTAAAGACATCTGTCCGATTGGATAAGCTTGTTAACGAGGCGTTAGGTAAGACAACTCATTTAAGGGTAATGTCCTAAGCTTAGGAGAGGCTATGACAATATTAGTCTGGTGATGTGGGCCATGTTGATCCATGGTCAGCAATCCTTCCATCCGCTGTCTCCGTCTTCCCCCTGCTTGAGGAGCATGGGAAGCTTCTCTATACGCCAAGAGCCAATTTGTGGAGGTGGAAGAACCAGGAGAGATCGCGTATGAATGGAAAGGTGTAACGGTTGACTGGTTCTGAGTTGCTGAAAGCCGAAGAACTCTTCTCTCTGTGTTCTACTCAGCTTCTAAATATGGCACAGGCCGGACCCGCTCCTTACCTAGTGTCCAAGACAGGGGTTTAGACGAGTTGCATTCCAAGGACATTCTGAGCGGCTACGGCAGTTCTCTAACCTTGATGATTAGCTGTTTCGGACTGCCCCTTCGGACTGCGAAAGCCGGCCTTGGGCCCTCTCCCAGTCGACGGGGAAGAACATCCCCACAGAATCCCACCATCTTCCTGGCCCAAATCATGCACACGAGCAGTAGCCTTGTCATTTGAAACACGTTAGTTTGCAAGGGTCTTTGACCTTTTCAGCTGCCATGCTGAGCAGTTAAGAGAATGTCCATCCCATCCCTGCTCACCTCCAAGCTCACATCGGATCTTCCCTCCTTTCCGCATTCTAACCTTCGACCACCTCCACCTTGACATGCGCTCGCTCCGTCTTGAGCGCACACGACTGACGCCTTTTACGATTGAAGATGGAGTGGCCGGTCAAGAATAGTCATCTGCCAATATCGCCCAACTACGGCCGGAGCGATGCTGGATTACACCCGGTCCCCGAGCCCACATTGGAGGTTGTTGCTGGCGACAGAGTAGTCTACGACGAAGGAAAAGAGGTCGTCTCGTCGCCAGGCGCCGGCGAATCGACCATAGTCTCCCCTTCGTCACCCTCAGATTTGACGTCTGCCACGACGCCAGGGCAAACCCAGATCAAGCCATTCGATGGCCACTACGACGGCCGGCACCACTACCACCACCACGGGATGGAGGACGATGGGAAAATCGTGGTGACAAACTCCAACAATGACAAGCAGCCGTGGTACCGAAAGCCGGTGTTTCTCGCGGGATTAATTGTTTTAGCCGTCGTCATTATTCTGGCCGCTGTGCTGGGAGGCGTTTTCGGTTCGAGGAGCCGCAACAATTCGTCGTCGCCCAACTCATCATCAGGAAGCACCACGACTACCACAGCTTCAGCAGCGCCGTCCTCGACCCCGACGTCAATTGCCGCCAATTCACCCATGGGCGTTTCTGGATGGAAGAATGGCGACGATAACAATCTATATGTCGCCTATCAGGCCGCCGACAACTCGCTTAGATACAGCAAGGCCACGGCATCGGGATCGCAGACAGATTTTACGTGGGGGGACCCGAAGACGCTCAAGCCGGAGAGCACACTGGGGAAGAATGCTGGGATGACTATGAGTGTCAGCGTCGACCAGTCAAACGACGCCAACTCACAGGTACAGTTATCCGTTTCGCCGCTTTTCATCGTGAACAGAGTTCTAACGCCTTATTCTTCAATTTAGATCCAGCTTAGCCTTCTATACATCAACTCGACCTCATACATCAACGGCCTGACTTACGTTACCGGGGGACAGGCGGAAGCCAATGGATTCACGACCTCCGATATCAACCAGCAGAAGTTCAAAGTGGCCGAGAACAGCACCCTGTCCGCGTACTGGCCCTTCATGTTATACCAGAACACCTCGGGTGTTGTCCACGCCCTTTGGTACGAGTCGGAAACCCCATATGTTCCATACAGTCTCTCCGCTACGGCCGCGTCGAAATCAAATCTGGCCGTGGTACCTGTTTCGCGAAACGTCACCAAAATCAGCGGGAAAGGCTTCTGGGCAATCTTCTACCAGAACCAGAGCGGGAAGATAATGGCCTCTCCGGACCCTGCGTTTTGGGATGAAAAGCGCGCCGATGACCTTGTCACCATTGTCAGCACCTGGAATTCTAGTAAGCATTCATAATATTCCTTTCATAGCTAATTTTTCCATGACTAACGTCGGTACAGCGTTTCCAGATATCACACTTCCAATTGGAAGCTCATTCACGGCATTTTCACTTGCGCGTGGAGACAACGACAAGGTCAACACGTTCCTCCTATATCAAGATGGGTCGGATATCAAGCAAGCCTGGATCAACAACGACAACGGCTGGCAGATTTCATCACCCAAGCTCCTACAAGGGGCAGACAGGGGGACGCACATCGGATGCGTAACCCCAGCCGTGTGGAAGAGCGACCGCACATTCTCCGAGAAGCTTCTCGCAGAAGAGTCGGACATTTCGAAATGCTACTTCCAGAAGGGTGGCAAACTCATCGAGGTCCGGCTGGAGGGCAAGGACTGGGTAGACTCGAAAGAGATTTCCATACCGTAAAGTGGTATTTTTCATTCATTGTATATATTATGATATATTGGGATTTTTGCTTTTTGGGGTCCGGGGTCACATGTTGGGCAGGTCCGTGGAATACACTGGGCTGTAAGCGTTTGCTGGTACATACACCGTTTTCTTTACATTTCCTCTACTATCTATGGACGGCTTAGATTTAATAAAACATCTATTCGGTTAGATTTTACTGTACGAGTCACGAGTTCCCAAATAACATAGTTTTTTGTACATTGCTTCAAAGAAGAACCAGCCTTTACCAGGAGAATTCTGACCATATCTCATATGATTAAAATTAACCCTATTCAGAGACGATATCTGGAATAAGCTAAAATTGTTGTAGGTGCATAGGCTAGCTCCAAGAGACGACAAGTGGTTATAGCGTTTTAGACAATGAGACTGACTTTATGATATGGATTGACTTCCCTAGGACAGTGGATATAACCTTGGAGGGTTGCATGAAGGCTAAACTACTCCAGCCTAGTTACCAGGGGTAGGCAACTACAATCCAACGGGTACGTTTTAGATCACTTCTGTTTGTCTTAGGCTTTGGAACTTAGGTTGAGGTAATCTCGATGCCTTGAGAGAATGCGCCAAGATCTGGCCTAGCATGGCACCTTTGTCGTCAGCACAAACAGCGAAGGCTGCGTATATGTTATTGCAAGTGCTCTGACCAAGGGTCCTTTGGTAATCACTGGGTTGCTTTGAGCTTGCTGAAGTGCTTTAATTAGATGGAGATGTAGTGTACAAAGGAATCTGTAGTTTTGGTATGAAGGTTCATAGACTCTTCTTCCTGTATGCCTGTAGCCTTGGGTCTAGATCTCATTTTTGCCTTCCGTATTCATTGTGTTATAAATGTCGGGTCTAGAATCTTCCATTGCTGGTTTTTGCTGTGTACTCAAACTCGCACTCGTGTAATCTTTCTAAAGACTTAATTAAGTATAGTATAGTGAGTCTTTGAATATCTCAACCCAATACAAAGAAGTATTGGTCCTAAGATGGAACCATATTGTGTTTGCACAAGACCACCCCGCAGGTGAGCGCCAAGACAGGAACGAAGAGCACGTACAACAAAGGTTGAAAGATAGGAAGTCGTATCAGCCCCTGTACGAAATCGCATAGAAACAAAGCAGAATAGGATTTTTATCCTGCACATAAGGTAGGCCTTCCCTTATTGGCGATCAGACAAAGGGACTAGAGCCTAGCTAGACCTACCACCTAGAGTAAAGAATAATAGTAATACTTTTGTGAACAGAATTTAAACGAACCTCCACTCCACTCCTCTTTTACGTATAAATAGAGGCCGTCAGAGCCAGAGACGGAAGGCTCAGAGGCGCAGACCGTCACCACCTTAACCGTTACACATTCAACTTTTCAAAGACATGAGTGGCATGCAATTAAGGAGCAGCATGGATGCTTGCTTAGAGTAAGTAACTTCCTCACGATATTAAGGCTTTTATCTTACGGCTCCTAGTTTGACCGGTCAAACCATCGAGGTCATCGTGGGAGCTAAGAAGCACGTCCCATTTACCATCCACGAGAACGTTATATGTGCAAGTTCGCAGTTTTTCAAGAAAGCAATGAGCGGAGAGTGGAGCGAAGCAAAGAGCCGCTCGGTTCGACTGGCAGACGAGGATCCCGACGTATTCCATATATATACGCAGTGGCTATACCACGACACGTTTCCAGTACGAGTCGATAAGCCCGGGGTAGAGGGTAACGCCGAGTACTTGCTGCTTGCGAAAGCCTATGTGCTGGGGGATATGTTGCAAGATGGAAACTTCAAAGATGCTATACTTGATGCAATGGTGGAGAAGACCGAATCGAAACTAAGCAACGACACAACGCTGTTTCCTGTTGGGCCAGTCATCCGCCACATCTATGATAACACAATGGAATCATCTGAGGCAAGGCGTCTTCTCGTGGACCTATACACAGAGCATGGGCGGGGTGATTGGTTGCGTAAACGGGCGTCCCGGGAAGATCTTCCGAAGGAGTTTCTTTATGATCTTGTTGTCGCAGTTCTTGATAAGAGATATTGGCGATACCCTACCCGCGCTCCTGTACCGGACCCTTGCGCATATCACCAACACAAGGCAGATAACAGCATTTGTTACAAGAATAGGTTAGCACAAAAGCCTCGCAAGCGACAGCGTACATAATAGACCTGCAACAATTGGAGTGGCGATGTATTGATAGAGACAGCAAACTTTTGAAACCTCAATTATACACATTCTTGATGACTAGGTACTACGTGACATCATAAGAAGATGGGGCCCTGGGCAATGAGTAGATGGAAGACTTGTGAATGCTTTCTAAAACAGGGTTAAAAGTATGTGAACTTGCTAAACGGGACGCGTTAATAGGCAGTTTTAGTTCTATGGGAGGCTAGATTTGCCAACGGGAGCCAGGTGATGGGAGCAACGTATTGATGTGGCTGAGTTGCTGAGTAGGTGGCCGACACTGCTGAAATCCACTATGATAATTCCCATACTTACTTGGAATGCACCACCCTGGCTTGTACTTGGGCGGAGAATTTCAATACCAGGGAACCAGATTAGCTCAGAGTGCGTCCAGCCCTGTGCACCCGATCGATGTGTCCTGGACCATCTCTTTACTATTTATTTGTCTCCCAGCAGTGGCCTTTATAATCTACAATGACTTTATACTCCTCTGAGGTTAGATTACTTTTATTTGACCAATTTGGTAAAGGTTGGTGATATAGTTCATCTCGGTCTCGGCCTCGGTCTTGAAACCCTATCTGGAACTGATGCGCATGGTGTAGAGTGTGAGGGGGAAGCAACGATTTGACCGAGGACTGAAAAGTAAGAATTTTGCCGTAGGGTCTAGCGAGATCAATCAAAAACGAACATCTTCTGGACGTAGCCTCTATGATCTACTGATTAAATCATAACCAACTGAGGTTCACCGAAAATCGGATTCCGCGCGGTCCGGATTTCTAATCCATCATTCCGACGGGATGTCACTATATATGAGTCCTCTCGATTTACTGATGTGTAGAGATGAATCCAATTCCAAAAATCTCTAGACAGCATCATGACTATCGTTCTTGTCGTGGGAGCCACAGGCCAACAGGGCGGAGGCGTCATCAGCGCGCTGCTGGGTTACGGCCGCACTGATCTCACCATCAAAGCGTTGACCCGCAATACCTCCTCTGCTGCGGCTCAAAGCCTGACTAGAAGAGGGGTCAAGTTATGCAAGGGAGACCTTCTTGACCGCCAGAGCCTGCTCAACGCCTTGGATGGCGTGGATGCTGCGTATCTTGTCACCGACTTCCGAGGGCCGGAGGATATTGAAGGGGAGATGAAGCAGGGAAAGCAATTCGTGGATGCTGCGAAAGAGTCAGGTTCGTCATATCTGTATTGTGTGAAAACTTGCTTCTGAATAATCTGGAGTCATGGCTGACGAATCAACGCAGGCGTCAAACATATAGTGTTCTCTTCGGTGGCTGGAGCCGACATTTCGAAACCAGTCGATCACTTCTACACTAAGTATCGACTTGAAGAGTACATTAAGCAATCAGGCCTCAACTGGACCATAGTCCGGCCTGTAGGCTTCATGGAGGTGTTGCCACCCCCCGGTATTGGAAGGTTCTTCTTCATGAGCGCAATGGCTTCGCTCATGGGCGACACGAAACAGAAATACGTTGCATGCGAGGACATTGGAAAAGCCGTGGCGGCAGCCTTGGTCAACCCAACTAAATTCAGCGGAAAGGTGGTTACTGTCGCCGGTGAAGTTGCAAACGTTGATGAACTGCAATCAGCTCTTGAGAAGGGAGAGGGACGCAAGGGCTGGGGGAGGATCTGGCTTCCTCGTTGGATCATCATTCGGCTGACACCCCATCACTATAGACAGATGTTTGATGTAAGTAAAATCACTTGTTCCTGAGTTGCTCTCGCCCTCTTGCTTACGAATGAACTACAGTGGCTCTTTTATGAAAACTGCCAACCTGGAAGCCCAGAAGAGACCAAGGAAATTATCCCAGACCTGCTGAGCATTGAAGCTTGGGCTCGGAAACAGCAGGCTGAGAGAGCGATCGCCAGATAATGCAAAGAAGCAGTGGTATAGATAAAAATCATGCTTGGGAGATGTCACTTGCACTATTGGTATAGTTAAAGAGATTGTTCGTAGCAAGTCAATATCCGTAATAATTCTGGCAACATCTCAATATTTTTTTACTTGAAAACGCCAACTAGGTTTAATTTTATCATAGGGCTAATCTATGCCATCTAATTAAGCCCCATGACTTCCGGGTTTCTTTTCATCCTTGCGACCCCTATGTAGTGTGGAGGCAACCTTCCCAGTCAACATACGGTCGACGTCGGGCAGCAGCAGAGCGCATATCAGTGCGATGCCTGAGAAGGCGATACTAACGTAAAAGATGGTACGATACGCATCTGCGTTTGCCAGTTTGTTTGCCCAGACCCCGGCAGCAATGATCTGATCACTGATTCCGGGAATGTCGCTGAAGCCCGTCCCTGTGCTGAGTGCCGTAATGAACGCAGGGACACTCGACGATGGCAGGCCGGCATCTGTTAGGGCCGGTGGAACGCGCGCGGGGATCGTCTCGCCGAGACGATTAGTGAGGACGACGTTGTAAATCGTAGAGGCGATGCAGCTGATGAAGAAGCGTATGGAGCCTGCGAGCCCTGAAGCAGATCCCAAGTTGGCCTGGTCCCAGGCTGATATCGTGACAATGGTGATGGCCAACGACTCAGCCCAGCCGATGAAGAAGGTACCGAGCGCAACGAACGCCGCGGCGCGTCCTTTGCTGTCAGGCGTGCTGGTTGCTGTGCAGCCGAAGAAGATGCCACTCAGGAACACCATGACGACGCACTGCCACTTCAAATAGCCGATTGGTTTCGCTAGGAACCCGCCGACTATCTGTCCAAGGATGATGAACAGCCCAACAAACGACGCATACCAAGAAGCTGTCGTCTCGTCCATGTCCGTGTACAACTTGGCGATCATGTTCGGCCAGACGATGGCCAAGGCGTAGTACACACTGGCGCCGAGGCCAGAGAGGATGGTGGCAGCATTCCAGGGGCCGTTCTTGAAGAGATGCATCGGAACCAGTGGCTCTTTGAGATTGGCGAAAGATTCCCAGAGAACAAAGGCGACAAGGCCGACGCAGCCTGCGACGATTGTGCCGATGACATATGGAGAGCTCCATGCATAGACGTTGCCGCCCCAGTTGAGGCCCATCATCAAAATCAGGAGACCACCGGTATACAGTGTGGTGCCAACGTAGTCAAAGTCCTTGATGAATTTCAACAAGCTGGCGTTCTCGCCATGCTTCATCTTGAAGGTCGGCGGATGGTAGAAGAAGAACCAACACAGGAAACTGGCCACGTTGATGCCTAGCAGAACATAGTAGCAACCCCTCCAACCGACGCCAGGGTGGTTCTGGAGGAAGGCGTGGGATATGACGGGAGCAATGCCAGACCCGGGAATGGTGAAGATGTAGCACGCGGCATTGCCGGCTAGACGGTACTTCATGGGGACGAGCTCACCCATGACGTAGTAGTACGAGAGTTGCGTGGCGGCTGCAATGCCGACGATGGTGGTGCCGCCGATGAGGGCGTTGATGCTCTGGGCCGTGGCACACACGATGGAGCCGATGATCCCAAGACCTGCGCCGCCGACGAAGACCCATCGGCGGCCGAAGATGTCTGTGACTCTGCCAATGATGGTGAGGGTCACGGCCGAGGTGAGTGTGTAGGTAAGTGCAACCCAGACGACGTTGCCGTCCTATCGTGGTGCTTGTCAGTTACCTCCTTATAGATCGTGACTTTCGAGCTGCAGTACTCACCGGGCCGATGTCGTTATTGATTATTGTCAGGATTGGAGCAGCATAGCCATACCCAGCCACTCCCGCCATGAGGCCGAGCCCGATACCTGCCATGGTACCTATGAAGAAAGGGCTTGTGAAGTAGCCTGGGGGAAGGCTATCCTGGTCGACTTCAAAGGTGTTGTCCTCATCCTTCTGAGGATGATCTCCGTTATCGGTCCCCGACGGGAGCTCTCGATGATCAACTTCATGTTTCTCGCTCTCATGCGAGGTGTTATCTGGTAATGGAGGCATCTTTGCTAGTATTCCCTAGCAAGTTGATAAGAACCAGCTGTAGTTCTCGGGTTATAGATATATCAACCACCCACGAACCAACTGCATTGCTCGGCGGGCAGGAATGGGTAACTTCATCCGATGGCTCAGGGGCTCCGCAAGCCCCTTACCCAAGCGACAGAGTCAGACTAAAGTAGTTGTGGCTTGAAGAACGAAGAGAGTTTGCAGGGTCGCTGAGTCATTAGTGCCTTGTTAGAAGAGGGAAGAGGAGAGCAAGACTGCCGTTCGTCACGGTAGAGTATTTCCGAGCAAAGAGCTTCTCTTCCTGACCACACAGGATGACGCATCTCGATGTGCATCAGAGGAAACCGGATGGCGGTGCTTTACCGTCTCCCGACAATGCTTCTGCTATGCGTGATGGGTGCCTTTTCCCTGCGACGCATCTCGACAGCAGGATTGTGTGGTCAGGTGACTTGTGAAAGCAGCCCTCCGAGGCAGAAGGTTTCCCCCCTTCGCCAGCTGAATCAATTAGTGACTTGCTGTCCACGGATGTGTAGGTGCAGCTCATGAGGGGGGCTGTTTGGAGTGCGATGGGCAAGGACGGGTTCATGTTTACGCGCGGATGAGGGTCCAACTAAGTACACTCACTCGCAAATACTGTGGGCAAACTTTGGTGGGGGTCACATCTTCTAGATGTCTTTCTTTTAAGTATTCATTGTGTTGAGTCGTCGGATCTGCAGCTTCCGTTTGTTTCCCGTTATACTCAACCTGTCTTCCGTCTTTCTTTCAACATCCGAGAGATGGAAAACACGCCCTGCATGCCAGCCGTTGTAGAGAATGTTCTGCGGCGCGAGAGAAGACTCCGCCCTTCTGTGGAAACGTCGTTGGTCAGTACCATCAGGTACTTTGGTGATGCACTTGTTGGTTGGATATTACTACCTTTGCAGGACGCATGCAGCTTGGGAAAACTCTGACCAACACACCTTCTCTTGACCCCTCGCGCGCGGTTTCCCTCCAGTCTTATTGTGCCCTTCTTTTCTCAATCGCCTCATCGTGATTTCATCAACAGCAACACATTCCTTCCTATTGACCACTATCCGTTGCGCTTGCCGACGCTGCCATGCCATCAGTCCCATTAACGGCGGCGGCCGTGATTGCTGGACTAACGGGCATCTCGGCCCTTTACTCGTCCTTCTTCCTGCTCCGCAATTACATCAAGGCCCGGGCTATTGGTGTGCCCATCCGTGTGATTCCTGTTAGTCACAGCGACCCTTTCTGGATGCTGATGGACCGGCCTGTCCTCAGCGTTCTCAGGCGCTTTGGACTTGGGAGCAGCAGCTTTGCCAGATACGGTTTTCGCCTATGGGAGATTGAAGATCGCGCCAAATTATATCAGGAGATGGGCCCTGCTTTTGTTCTGGTCACCCCAGACAGAAATTGGCTATACATTGCCGATCCAGATACTATTAACGAGGTGTTTCGCCGAAGAACTGATTTCCCTCGGTGTGTCGAGCTGACAGGTATTTGTTTTCCACCTAATATGGCGATTTTGATTCCGCAGAGCGAACGTTAATGCCATGCTTCTTGTATATAGAGGTTCTCGACGTCTTTAGACCAAGCATTGCTACGGTAAGATCTTGCTAAATCTTTTCCCCTTCAATTTACCTGCTTTCTAACTGTAATGTTAATGTGCTGAAGGAGCTAGATGGAAGGTACAGCGCAAGATTGTAACGAGCTGCTTTACCGAACCTACAAACGAGATCGTCTGGTCCGAGAGTCTCTGGCTTGCCAAGGACATGTTGCAATACTGGACTTCAAAGCCCTCTCTTGCGACAACCGCCCGGGACTGCCGCACCTTGTCGCTGAATGTACTCTCTCGTGCCGGATTTGGAAAGTCATTTAAATTCGAGGGCCAAGAAGAGCAAATTAACTCGAGCGAAACCTACCAAGGGTCTTTGCAGATGATCCTCGAAAATTGTTTCCTCATTTTTGCGTTTGGTACCAAGGCACTTGGAAACCCTTGGCTGCCAGAGCAGCTAAACAAGGTCCACAAGGCATGCGAGGCTTTCCAAAACTACATGACGGCGATGTATGAGGAGGCCAAGGGAGCGGATAACTCAACCAGCAAGAATTTCATCGCCTCGTTGGTCCGCGCTAGTCAAAGGGAGGATGAACATGCGTTGACAGAAAAGGAGCTATACGGGAATATGTTCACATTCAATTTTGCTGGCCATGATACCACGGCACACACATTCACTTTTGCTCTATATTTTCTCGCTGCGTATCCAGATGTCCAAGCCTGGATCAACGAAGAGATCAGGGAAGTCTTCAAGGACGAGGACTACAGCTACGCGCGTGACTTTCCCCGACTCAAACGCTGTCTGGCGCTTATGCTCGAAACACTCCGACTATTTACACCAGTTCCTGTAGCCAAATGGACAGAGAGCCAAGAGCAACGTCTCAATGTTGGTGGCGGTAAGACGGTTGTGATCCCCCCAAATACAATGGTCCTCCCATCCTACGCAGCTATCCAGAGTGAGCCGGATCACTGGGGCAATGACCCCCTTGTCTGGAGACCGTCGCGGTGGATTGAGCCTATATCGGACTCAATCTTACGACCAGGCTCAGAAGAGCTCATCAAATGGCGCAAGGGAACGTTCCTCGGCTGGTCTGACGGCGCGCGTGACTGCCCAGGCCGCAAGTTCTCCCAAGTCGAGTTTGTTGCGACCATGGCGACATTGTTTCGGGATTGGCGTGTTGATCCGGTTCTGGAACATGGAGAGACTCTGGAGAGCGCACAGGAGAGAGTGAAGAAGCTGATTGAGACAGATTCAGGCCCTGTTCTTCTACTCCAGATGCTTCACCCTGAGCGTGCGCCTCTAAGATGGACTCGTTGGAAGGTCTGAGCAGGATGGAAATGTTGGCCCTACGTCTTAATGGTTAACCGTAGTATGGTGTCTTTCGAAACAAAGTGGCATATGGATAAGTATCACGGGAGTGTATATTGTGTAGTAGAATGGACACATAGTGGATTTAGAGAAGTGACACGGGCCTCGCAACAGACTCAAGGACGCCGCTCTGGGCAGAGGACTTGAAATCCAAAATACGCCAAGTCCTCTTCCGGGATATCTTTATTATCTTGGAAACATTGTATTGTCGAGCCGAATGGTCCCGCATCAAACCTTCCTATGACATGGAAGGACGGAATGGGGTCCAACGTGAGTGAACATAGCAGCCCGTCCATCGTTGAACCCTAACTTCAGGAGAGAAACAAGGTCCTCACAGGACCTGTTGGGGACTTGAGGATACCGTCAGAGGCTGGTTAGCTGGAAACCTGCTAGCTAACAAAAAGAATTGTGCCGAATATCGCGCTTTTGATTCATAGATTCTGTTTCAATGAATCTGAAGTCTAATCCAAGCCTTCAATGTTTGGCAGGCAGCGGCTGATACGAATTTCAAAATCCTATATTGATCGGGAATTATGACTTATATCAACATAACTCCCGAGTTTCCTCTGCATCAGGAGATAGCGATACAAAACAATAGACATGGTTCAAGTTCCGGCTGTGCAGACATGTGTGCGGCCGGCAAGAAAACCCACAACAGGGGGGGGTTCAGTCGCTGTTGCGGCCCATTTGCATATAGAACTTCAGGGGCATGCATCTTGCTGAGTTGGTGTGCGCGTCGATCGACGCCAAAGCATCACTTGCCTGTCCTTTCCCTCGATCTGTGTCTCGGACCAAGCAATGACAAGGCAGAAAACGAGTCGGAACCGCTAATTTCAAGTGATACCCATTACGAGTTCGCACAAATGTAAATGCACATCTTTGTGGGCGCAACACAATAGTGCCGACACCAGTATACAGCCACTAATACAGTCCATCACGCTCCATGAGGCATCCAATGCATTGAAGCGGGGCAGGAACAGGGGAGACCAACCGAGGGGTAGCATTGGACGCTCTTCGGATGGAACATTGAAATGCTAATTGGACATCAAGAACTGGACGACACCGCTGGGTAACAGCCCGAGAAGCAATTGGTCACTAAGCGTTATATCTTCGGTGACTCTATCTCGTTCATTTTTCTTGATGCTATCAGAAAATAGGCATCCTCCCCCACTATTCACACACAGTTGCCTTCCGGTCACACTTTTCTGACGCCTTTGTGGTGAATGGTGGGTCGGATGCCTCGTCCTCGCCCGTGACGTCTTGATAGGCGCCAGAGACCCATGTCGAAGACGCTTGAAGTCATAAATTCATTCGTTGATTTACCAATCTTAAGTAATCAACAGCGTCCGTGCTGTGCTCAGCCATCAACGGCGCATTCGAATCCTGGTGGCGAGTTCCGGCAACACAACGGCCTCCACAGCGCAGGCTTGGTTCGTCATGTGTATCCTTTAAACTTAGATAACTCCGGAATATTTGACAAAATAGGTATAGAGGGCTTATAAGTCGCAAAAGTGAGCACTCAATCAGTTGAATGACACACGGATGTGATCCAATGTCCTGAGTGGCGACATGTCTCAAACTAGGTGTTCCAAGTTCGTGTGATGGATGTCCATTCGCTTCAGATTGTAGCCAAATAATTTCCCTTGTAAACTGTATTTGGTTGAGATTGGCCAGAAAAAGCGTTAGATGGCCTAAAATTGCGCTAGAATGAGGAAGAACGAGTCTCTAGTCACACGCACACGCGTGTGGGAGCGAAATAACATTCACATTTGTGATAGGACATTTGGACTGTCCTGGCAATTTTCCGATGTTGGTTGGTGCCCTCGACTCACTTCTGTTACGCACATTTGGGATTATTTCGAAACGATATTGCACAGCCATTCAGGCTCTAGATTATTATATAAGTCCGCTGTCACTCGCCTACTACCTAAGTTATATCTTTAACCCATCACGCATATAAAACAACATTGGCTATCACGGTAAAAGAATTTCTATTCAAATTCACTCTCAACCTTTTGCTTCTCTCAACAATAATCACCAAGCCCCAAACATGGCCAAGTCAAAGAGCACCAGTATTCCCGCGTCCGTGTTTTCTCAGCCCTCCAACCACGGGCAAATGACTCTCAAGACCAAGACCAAGACCAAGAAGAGCAGGTTAGTAGATACATCCAGCTCGATGCACCTTGACTGACCATGATCCTGTCGCAGTGAACACTCCCGCAAACACAAGCGCGTACAATATGATGCGGCGCCACGCTCAGATCCCAGTGATCGTACCGACTACTATATCGACAAGGCAGGATCAGCCATCAAAGGTTTCGAACAGCAGTTTGGAAGCAGTGGCGGCAAATAGACGCGACTTGGAACGTTTGTGTTGGAGCTGTAGTGGCAGGGAATTTAGAAAGACAGGCCATTATCTGGCTAGCAATGATGTTAGAGAACAGGCTCAAGTTTAAATGAGCGTCCTTTCATTTTTTTTATATTGGCTAGGGAAGCTATGAGGAGGTGTTGTATAAAAGCCTAGATTACATGGATACCGGAAAGTGGCAACGCTTAAAATATAAATCATACTTCTCACATCTCAAAACACGATAGGGCGCCGTCTGACTTGATCCATCACGATGACGAGAGCATTCCACCGCTACCGGCACTCGCCCTTCGTGTACACAAGACCCGGCAACCGCATGGTCTAGATTTGAGAGTTTCTGACTACTTGTTTCAGTTTTGTCTTTCACTATCTCAGTTTTGCCCCCCTTGTTGTTCTCATGTGATGTTATCCGAGCTTGGGATAGAAAATCAGATGTGAAAGGGTTTATAACTCGCTAGGTCTGAGGTTACGTACTTCAATGAAGGAATCTTTGATCATTGAGCCAAACCTTGCTTACAAGGGCCTTGAGAATATCAAATCTTATGACTGAGATAGATGCAAGTGAAGACTAGTGGTTGATCAATGTAAACCGTCAGTGTTGTTCGGAAATTCTGTATCCTTTCCGTTGTACAGACATACGTACATCTAAAATATTAATTAATGTGCTCTGCATTCGCGAGAATGCGCCAACGTGTTCGAACTCCCAGCGTAAATCACCCAGACATTCCCCTGAACGGCTCAGGATATGTGGCATCGCGTGAAGTGGATAGACTCAACGGCCTCGGGGACTTACTTGGTAGGGTCAAGGAATGCCGGTAGAGTGAAACAGGGCATGACCTTGAGACAGCAGGTTGGTCCAACCCTTAGGGAAGAAAACACAATAGCGGCCTAAAGAGGACCCTAGAGGCCTCAGCTCGAAGATTATCGCTGTCACTTTGTAAATTTGTTCTCAAGTAGGTGGCATAAGACGAACGAGTTCCCTTCTACGCTCACTAGATTTTAAACTGGTTGGCTCATTTGCCGAATGTTATCGTCAAGGGAGATATGGCCCCAACCACTCGTGGAGCATGTGAAACGGGGCTCTCTCGGAGCCGCTGACATAGTGAATTATTGTTCCAGGGAGGTAGGGAAGTTTGAAACATCTTCTTTCCACACACGTGTGTCTGATTCCGTGTTTAACATCGGGGTTTGGGCGTTGTAGACTAGAACACTATGCAAATTTAGTGAACCTCAGGTTGTGATCTCTTGAACCCTCTTATAGAAGAGTTCGAGCCGAAAGCCATCCGGAAATGAAACCATACGGTCCTCAGTGGGGAATCCAGACTCTATGATGAAGCGAATTCTAGCATTTATCTCGCTCCTGCCTGGGTTCGCTTGTTCTGCATTTCTTCGCGGCAACGCAGTGGATGTTGACTCTCTGGACCCTTTAGGAAAGAGCGCACTCGCTTTCCCAAAGTCGGGCCATTATAACGGATGGGGGACATTCAACCAACTGATCGACCACTCAGACCCCAGTCTAGGCACGTTCAGACAGAGATACTGGTACAGCACCCAGTATTGGAATGGTCCCGGATCCCCTGTCGTCCTCGTCAATTCCGGCGAAAGGAGTGCTGAGGGGACAGACCGAGTATACCTCAGCGATGCCATGCTGCCAGGTCTCTTCGCCAAAGAGCTAGGCGCGGCGGTCATTCTCATGGAACATCGATATTGGGGACGGTCCTCCCCTTTTGGCACGTTAACCTCCGAAAACTTGAAGTACCTCACCCTCGACAACAGCCTGAAAGACATCATCAACTTCGCCCAAACGTGGGTGCCCGATTTCGATCCGAGCGGGAGCAGCTCGCCGCAGCGCGCACCTTGGATATACACGGGGGGTTCCTACGCTGGGGCCTTGGCCAGCTGGCTCGCGTCGTTGTATCCTGGGACCTTCTGGGCTTACCACGGCAGCAGCAGCGTCGTGCAGAATATCGGTAACTTCTGGCAGTATCATCGCCCTATTCAGGAAGCGACACCGCAAAACTGTAGCAGGGATCTCGGCCGGGTGATCGACTACATCGACGATACGCTCTTGAACGGAACAGAGGAAGAGAAGCTGTTCTTGAAGGCCAAGTTTAAGTTGGAGGACCTCCAGGATGCTGACTTTGCAGCGTAAGTTAGAGATTTCTAAGGAAGAACACTGCGGGATATCACGAAGCTGATTTCCTTCGGTTGTAGTGCGATCGCAAGCGGACCGTGGCTGTGGCAGAGAACACATTTCTCGGACCAAAGACAGAAGGGTTTCAACAAATATCATAAGTTCTGTGATTACATCGAGGTGTGTTCTCTTGGAACATTCATTTTGACGCTGGCTGAAGTGATCTCACTGACTTGGATTGAAGAATTCTGCCTCATGGCTTACCTGGACAGTCCCAGGACCCTCGGGGGTTGGGCTGGAAAAGGCGCTTCAGGGCTATGCTCGGTGGTTTACACAAGTACATCTTCCTAGCTGTAAGTTCAAATGCAGTGAGCCGTCATCGAGACTATACTCTGATCATTCAATTGTATTAGATTGCGAGAGAGAAGCTGGCTATGAAGGCTGGAAGGGAAGGTTCAACACTGGCTGCTTTGATAGCCTCAATCCATCTAACCCTGCCTACCGCGACCTCACGGTCAATAACTGGGCCAACCGTCAATGGAACTGGATGCTATGCAATGAGCCGTAAGTATATTGCACCAAGGTCACGACGAGAGAGCAATGCTGACCGGCGGTAGATTTAAATGGTGGCAGAATGGCGCACCGGAGGGCACACCGACCATCGTCTCAAGACTGCTGGACAGTGAGTACTGGGAGTCACTTTGTCCCCTCTATTTCCCCGAGGGGGGCTACGGCATCCAGAGGAATATGACGGTAGACAAAATAAACGAGTGGACGGGCGGCTGGACCGTCCACCCCATCAAGCGCCTGCTCGAGTCGAACGGCCAGTTTGACCCGTGGCGAGATGCGACCGTGAGCGCGGTCGATCGGCCTGGAGGTCCTATGGCAAGCACTCCAGACCACCCGGTCATTTTGATGCCTGGCGGTGTTCACTGTTCGGATTATTATAAAAGAGATTGGGACAATAATCCCGAAGTCAAGCGCACCGTTGACAAGGAGATCGGGATCATGAGAAGATGGGTACGCGACTTTTATGAGGATGGTGGAGAGGCAAATGGGCATCCAGATGAGCAAATGAGTGGGCAGACGCAGAACAACGGGCAAACAAATGGACAGGCAGGTGGGCTATTATTTGGCCAAATAGTTGGGCAGATCGGGGATTTACGAAGATGATGCGATGAATGAATAAATAAATGACTTGCCTTCAAGGTTGTACGCTTCGATACGGTAGAAGAAGATTGAGATTGAGTAGTTTTGTCGGGGATGCATCCACTTCTCATCTAGCTAATACATTATATTCCCCTCTCTGATAATGCTACCTAGTCTACGGTGCATATCTAAATTACCTTGTCGACAAATGACACGGTGTTTTCCCATGAGACTGGGTGTTGAGAAAGGGGAGCCGAGGCAAAATGATGTGCCTCACAATGACAAAATCGCGCCGCTGCTTAATCAGTTCAGCTGGGTGGACATCGAGAGCAAATAGCGCTTCATTCATCCCGGTCTGTTTGGCGCTTGGCTTCTTTGATTTTAGTGACTGGATGGTCGGCCTCATTATCACGCCGCCGGTCAGTCCTGCGAGTGTCTTGCGGAGATGCGGAGATGGTGATGCGGACCTCACTGTCCTTTCCCTCAGCCAAATGATGCCTATGATTGAAAGAAGCAAAAATAGTTGAGCCGATCGTGGCTTTAATGCAGGGTGATTGCGTCGTGTTTGAGGATATATAATATGAAAATGCGACACGATGTGGTGATGTTGTTTGCGTCCTTGCTTCACCCTCCGACGAGAACAAATGGAGTCGCTACACCTGAGCCGGCCACTGACGCTGAAATGCGGCCTCACTATCCCCAATCGTCTGGTGAAATCGGCACTGACCGAGAAATTTGCGACAAAAGATTCCCTGCCGGCCAGCAAACAATGCCTTTCTGCCTATGAAGAGTGGGCAGACGGCGGCTGGGGGATGGTCATCACTGGTATGAGCTCACCCAGCACACTACAGGTTCACTCCACGAGACTGACACAATTGACGCAGGAAACGTCCAAGTGACCCCCAAGTATCTCGGAGCAAAGGGCGACATTGCTTTTGACCCGGCAAGAAAGAACGAGGACAAAGTCCTGCAGGCGTGGAAGCAATGGGCAGCGGCCTGCAGCAAGAACGGGACAAAGGCCATCGTCCAGATCAACCACCCAGGCAGACAATCCCCCGCCGGAGCTGGCTGCCGCGGCCCCTTCACCAAGAACATCGCGCCCAGCCCTGTCCCCCTCGACTTTGGCGACGGCCTGCTCCCCAAGATCATCGGCTCCGTCATGTTCGGCACGCCCAGGGAGATGGCCGTGGCCGAGATCGAGGACATCGTCAGACACTTTGCCAGCACAGCGCGCCTTGCAGCCGACGCCGGGTTCGCGGGCGTCCAGATCCACGGCGCGCACGGCTACCTCCTCACGCAGTTCCTCTCGCCCAAGACGAACAGGCGGCTGGACGACTACGGCGGCTCCGCGGTCAAGAGGGCCAAGATCGTGGTGGACATCATCCACGCCGTGCGCGCCGTCGTGCCGAGCGGTTTCTGCGTGGGGATCAAGCTGAACTCGGCAGACTTCCAGTCCGTCTACGACATGAAGGACTTCAACGAGCAGCTGGGGGCCATCACGGCCGCCGGCGTCGACTTTGTGGAGGTCAGCGGCGGGACGTACGAGAATCCCGAGATGATGGCCAACAGCGCCGTGGCGGAAAAATCTACCCGCACCAAGGCTCGCGAGGCCTTCTTCCTGGAGTTTGCCAAAATCATCAGGGCCGATTTCCCACATGTCCCTCTCCTGGTTACGGGAGGCTTCCGCACGCGCGAAGGCATGGAAGCTGCAGTGTCGGAAAACGACTGCGACATGATTGGGCTTGGCCGGCCGTCGGTGCTACAGCCGTCGATGCCCAAGAGCATCATCCTCAATCGCGACATCCCAGACTCTGATGCGCACGTGTATACAGAGGAGATCCCGACGCCGTGGTACATGGACATTGGGGTCAAGGCCATCGGCGCATCTCGTCAAGATGTGAGTGCATCGCAATTATTTGTCTCCCAGTCGGCTGCTTTGATCGTGCTAACTTGACGTGTCACAGGCCTGGTACGTGAAGAAAATTCACAAAATGGGATCTTGAGGCGGACTGATGTACATTGACTTTATTACCTACGCATCGGTGTATCAAGCGTACTCGACATAAATTCATCAGGTATTGGAGAGAATTGGTTTTTAATAACAAAATAAATTATACTTCTTAAGAAAAGAAACATTTGAATTAGAGATATGGAGAGGAAGGGCTCAGCGTGACAGACAGGGTCGCTGATCACCATCTGCAACCCGGATCTACCGATCCTTGTCGCCATTCTCTTAGAAATTTAGAATCAGGGTACACGCGTTCGAATTTATATTTTGGGCCCCCCGTTCTGAATTGACTCGAAATTAAATCCGAGGCGCGTATGGCCTCTTGCATCCGGTAGCTGAAAATGACGCGACCATCAAATTTCCAGCGAGATTCACCATCCGACACCTCCAAGCCCTCGGCAATCCTCAATTCTGTAATGACGTAGATGCGGCGGCGACCCCTGGGGACCTGTTTAGCCTTATTCCGGACAGATGCATCAATCACGTCCTCCAATTCATGCAGGTACTTGACCTTGTGGTGTTCGAGTTTTTGGAAACTAAACTGCCGCACAGCAGTGGGGGAGGAGGGGAAAATCGATCTGAGACTTTTATCGCGGACTGTTTTTGTATCAGAGAGGCAAACATTGTAGCCGTCCGGCATGACCTTTGGGGCACCGAGGAATGTATCCAAGTCGCCGGGGCTGGAGAAGACAGCACCTACTCGGCATGGACCAGAATCAGCATACCCCAAATATGGTGGGAAGCGATAGCCTTCTTGTGGCCCTGCTGCTAGGAAGAACTCGCCTGACGTTGGATCCCAATTCCCCCAGCAGGGTGCCGAGGCCTTGGATCCAACATCGACCGGCATGGCACTAGCTTTGGAGACTCGACTTGCAGGCATGATTTTGTTGACCACGGAGTCCCATTTCGACCTGGAGCCCGCGGAGGCCTCGGATCCAACATCGACTGCTAAGGTACTGCAGGTAGAAAGTCGACTCTCAGGCGTGATCCAGTTGACGTCGGGGTCCCGTTTCGGCGAGGAGTCTGCCGAGGCCTTGGAGTCGTCATCGGCCGGCATGTTTTTGGAGCTAGGGACTGGACGTGTAGACATGATATTGTTGGCGATAACCATGGAGGCAAGTGATGTTACAGAGTGTCTGATAAACGTGAGAGCTACTGGAGCTCAGTCGTCCTTATATAGGAATCCTCTCGAACTCTAGGACTCCATAATGCTTCAACGACGCCGCCATGGCGAGTTCTGTGAACAAGACGGCTTTGAACTTGTCGGGGTTTTGGACCGGGGAGACTTGAAGCAGCATGCCGCTACTACCAGTTGTTCCTCTAGCCACAGCCAGTAGAGAGGGAATGCTACTGTATGCATCACGAGGATAATAAGAGGATAAGTGACAGCTTTTGCATGTAACAACAAGCTGCCGTTGTTTCAGAACAATCTATACCTGTCAGAGGCTTTTGAGCACAGGATAGAAGAAACGGTAAGTAATTTAGGCCAGCCTTGTAGCTCTTAGCCTCATTATCATTAAGTGGGACTAAGTTCGGAAACTTTTGGGTATTCTTTTACCATACAGGTGTGTGGCTAACATGATGCAAGAGAGTCATTTATATCAGCTAGAAATTGATCAACGATCTACGAAGTTGGGATAGTAGCTGGATCGGGGGAAGATTCCAGGGGAGCCTGAGCTAGATAGGCGCGCAATGCCTTCACTCTTATTAACGTGATGATACTTCTTTCGACTGCGGCACACCCGTTGTGAACGTATCAATACTACCTATGATCTCATTGTCATGCCTGCAGAATGCCGGTCGTAAGTTATTAAACAGAAGTAGGGTGGGTGGTCCGCACTACCCAAGGACAGATCTAGCAACGAAGGATTATCTCCTTTGTACTCAGCAACCAGAAGATATTAACATGTACCAGGCTTTTTTAAGGCATAACGCTATTCAGTGGGCCTTTGACTAGTAAAATATCGGGATCGGCCGGTTATATATCTTCGCTACCCTCTTCCTGCTAATCAGTTAGCCATCCTCGCAAAATGCCTACCTACAGGAGTGAACGGTGTGGTGCGGGGGGGAGCGAAATTAGAAGGGCATTAAGGGGGAAGGGCATCAAGGGATAAAATTATCCATCCTATCATCGATTAGATACTTGATCCGATGATGGCCTTTCGCCGGCGTGGAGAAAAAGCACACGGGGCACGATTGGATCCGGTCCTGAATACCTCGGCTGACCCTCAAGCGCTCCAAGTAGAGACGCACGTGTGTTTTGTACACGCCAGGGTATTGGAAAAGAAACAAACTCAAATTGACTAGACGGGGAGATAAGGCCCACCGTTGATCTGTGCCATAGACACTCTCAAGTTGCTGAGCTGCCTCCTACTCAATGGCAATGAGACTATAAGCCCTAGAAGTAGTCTAAAAATACTTACTGTTTATTCTATCTCTATACTAGAAAGTCTCTGGATAGCATAGCTTATTTCTGGCAACAACGAAATGCCGTTGCGGCTCAACATGCTGCTGCTCGTCTTCTTTATCGTAGGCTTCCAATTGCATCGTCGACGGCTGGAGCTGCTACTGTAGTAGCGGTATGGCACTTCAAGTTTCACGGTTCCAAGAAGCTAAAAATCTTCAAGGGTCCCTCAAAGGTATGTTAATCACAAACTCGCTATAGCAAAGTAGGTAAAGTATTATAAAGCCTTTGTACTGAAGCATAATTCCTATATAAGGATTACCCAGCTACAGTAGCTCTTATATTCCTTCTCTACCTAAATTACAATCTCACTTACTTCAAAGGTAGTCTCTAAAAAGATCATGCCTGAAAATCAAGTCTCTGGCTCCAGTACCTTGCCGGATGATTCCAAGGCCTCGGCAGTCTCCTCGTCGAAATGGGACCCCGTCGCTGATAAGATGATGCCTGCAAGTCGAGTCTCCAGAGCTAGTACCATGCCAGTCGATATTGGATCCGAGGCCTCGGCAGACTCCAAGTCGAAAATGCCTGGAAGTCTAGTCTCCAGAGCTAGTACCATGCCGGTAAATGCTGTATCCAAAGCCTGGTGGTGGTCGAAATGGGACCCTGACAAGCGATGGGGCACTCTGAACAAGTACAAGCTTGCAGCGCAGCCACAAGAAGGGTATTGCTTTTCAAAGTATTTGGGGCATGATGCTAATCACGGTCCATACCGACTAGGTACTGTCATTTCCACCCAGATAACCTGGATACAATCCTATATGTCCCAGAGGCCGTGCCGGACGAGTACCAAATTTCTGTTTCTGGTCTGGGCGTGTTATCAGAAAGCGATGCAATGGGTCCATGGCCCGGCCCGCCTGCTACTCGAGAGTTCCGTTTCCAAAAACTCGAAAACCACCAAGTCGATCTAACATCGGACGACTTAAACCGCATGGCTGATCACCCACCTGTCAAAAGAATACTCGGCCGGCACCTCGGCCGCCGCAACGTCTACGTCATAACAGGCATGAAGATTGTCGACGGCTTGGAGGTATCGGATGGTTTCGAATTTTATCGGAAATTTGAAGGACGCGTCATCTTTAGCTACCAGATGCACGTGGTCCACAACGGATGCCAATCACTAAGACAAAGGATTATGGAGAAGCCTTGAAAAAACATTTAGCATCCGTGTGTAATATTGATCAACGGCTTATGGAAGTGGTCGGCTGGAGCAGGGGAAGAAGTTGGTACGACTAGTTGAAGATTGATCGATTGACGAGTTTTGGAAGTGTCTTGTTCGTTTTTGTGACTGTTGAACACTCTAGGGGGAGTCTCAAACAGAAGGGCGCACAATGTATTCACTCTTTATGCTATTAATAGTGCTGTCTACGCTGCAGGTAGTAGCACACTAGTTGTGGGTGCGTAAATACTGAAAGGGAGGCCTTTCCCTTCTTCCAGGTAGACAAGACAAGACAGACCGGCTTTGTGTAATGAGAGAAAACAGAAAGAAGATGCAGCCCGAAGAACGTTGACATGAGCAATTGTTTCAAGAAAAAAATACAAAAGCTGGGACGATGGCTAGAGCCGCTAAAATTTCTCCTTTGTACCCAAAAACCAGAATAAATCAACACATATCAGGCTTCTAAGGCAGAAAGCCAATCATTGGGCCTTTTATCAGTAAAATGTCGTGATGATGGTTCAGGCGAGTGTGTAGCTACCGTCGATCTAGGTATCGGGGAGAAAAAGGAAAGGTAAAGAAAGCCCTGATATTTGCCATGCACGACGTGTCGTCGAGATTCCGTCTCTTGTCCAACTTATCCGTCTCTTTGCCCTCGCCCTCCGCCGCTTCAAGCTCTCCAATTTGACCAGTATTACGTCATTATAAAAGTCGGAGAGTCGAGCAGTCGAGCAGTCGAGCAGTCGAGCAGTCGAGCAGTCGAGCAGTCGAGCAGTCGAGCAGTCGGGGAGCGAGGGGACGGGGAGTCGGGGAGTCGGGGATCGGCCGGTATGTCTCTCGTCCGAGGCGGACGCTGCATATTCGCTACCCTCTGCTTGCCAATCAGTCAGCTATCTTATTAAAGTGCTTGCTCATAGGAGTGAATGGTGTAAATGAAAGGGAAGAGCGTAAAGGAAATACCTTATCGTATGCTCGTTGTATGCTCGATCAATTGCCTGATCCAGGGCTCGCTTGTCCCTGGCGTGGAGAAAGAAGACGTGGCGCACGATTGGAGATGGTCCCAAATGCCCTGATTGCCCTCCAAGCGCTCCGGTGAAGCGTCACGCTGGCTGTGTGCTGTCCCGAGAAAGTCCAAAAACATTTGAGACCCGACATAACACTCATAGAAAAGGGAGCAATCGATCGGGCAGGCAGTCTTGTCGTCATGGGCATCTGCGGGATGTATGGCCCATGCGTGTATCGGGAGATGATGACAGGTTCAGTACATCCGGAGAAACAGGTAAAATGATATAGGTCGTTCTTGATCTGTTTCATTGTGGCAAGTTAAAGCGTGGTTCAGTTCATGTAGATTTCTAGGTGAAGCTTACCTCCAATAAGAGTCATGACTATTCTTCCGATCGAAGCAATGGCCGTAAGCACAGCGGGCAGGTGGGGTTGCCATGGATGTTTGTCTTCAAGCGATGGCCTCGAGTCTGTTGCTAGGGACAAAGGTTAGGTGGCACGACTGTCTGAATAGTGTAGGTTTTGGAAGCCATCCAAGTTTTGACCCCTTCTCAATTCTGGCCCTGGCTCTTTGGGAGAACGTGACTTGTTTGAGATGTTGTAATAGTTCCCCATACCCGGTGCCTCAAAGTTGGGGGTACGGTGCCGGGCGCTGGCTCGGTTCGGGTCGCGTAGGTCGAACTCAATATCTCCTCTCAAATGGTGGATAGATTCTGTTGACTGGAGTTGCATTTCTACCGTGATAGACTCGTGTTATGGGTGAAACGGAGGAGAGACGCAAAGACTTCCTTGATCATGCGATTGCTCATGGCCAACCGAACCTCCAACGTGTCGGTCAACTTGGATGTAACCACAAGTCTGGCGGCACGATCAAGAAGGGTCTCTTTCAGCCTTAACGGCACTCTGTTCCGGTAGGCGTCGGGCTCTTGCTTCAAAGGGGGAGATGTAGCTTGCAAGGCAGCGCCGCTTAAGATCTAAAAAGAAGGCTTATAACTTTTCGACGGCACTAGAGTCGATGAGGGAGCGGTCGATAACGAAGGAGTGAATGCCGGAGCGGTCGAGGCATGGATCGGTTCTGAAGTGGTCGAAGAAGAGGGAGATAAACGATAGGGAATAAATCGAATCGGTCGAGGAACAGACAAATGGTGCCCAATCAGCTGAAATGGTCGATTTCGAAACGGTCGATGTCGAAGGGATCTTCAGCAGAGGCTGATGGCGAAGTGGTTGGTCGCGGGGCCTTGGGAGACAGTCGATGGACGAACTTGGAAAGCCAAGAGCAGGAGCCAATAAGCGTGCTTGGGTATTTGATACACCGCCCTGGGGCAAAAGACTGCTGGTCTGTGATGATTTTATGGCAAAAAACGAGGAGAAGACACGACGGCCATTTCAAATGACGGTAACACAAGAAATATGCAGTCTTAGGTAAGCCTGCGCGGTTGGCTGTCATTCAGTTCAATTGCTTTCAACGGTAGATGTGTGATTAATTCCAGGGATGGGACGAGGCTAATATTATCAACAGGATACTTATTGGTCGCAGTATCTCTAGGCACCAGGCATACGAGATCAAGCGCTGCATCGAAAGACATGAGAAAGAACCCGCGTTTGGCTACGACTACGTACACCACCAGCGTACCTGGTCATCACCACAGGATCACAAGAATCAGGTAAGTGCAGCATACCAATCATTCCAGTTAATTATCCTCGAGAGGGAGAGTCTCGACCACAATACCATTTTGAGTACATTTATGCTTGCCTGACTAACTCCCTTCAAAACCTAAAAAATAAGAAATGAAAGAACAAAAAAGGAAGGGAAAAAACGAAGAAAGAAAATTCCCCCCCTCCCACGTGCCAACCTGGGGAAGGTCAGTATATGGATCGCTAGAATGTTGATGTAGAGGTTCAATGAGGAATGGCAACTTACCTCCTGCATGTGAAGTAGAGCCAGAAGATCAAGAGCAATATGACTCGCGCTGTGGAGCCGACTGCGAGCACGACAGCGTTCAACTGTCCGACGGACAGAGGGCCAGCACTAGGTTCCATGCCTCCATTCATGGCGTTTTGGGCGGCCAACATCGACACAGCTGAGAATACAGCGTGCATGACGTACATGAAGGTGACTGTTGCTGGGCAATGACCGTGCACCGGACTTTCTTTAAGCCGTCGCGAATCCTCTGACGCACTGGCCCTTCTGGGACCCGTACCCGTCCAATATAAGTAACGTCGTAGGGCGAGGTGTTCATCCCAGCGCTCGGCAAGATCAAACCGGCCGGTGTTGACGGCAGCTATAAAGGAGTTATGAGCCGACCCAACCATGCGACAGGCCAAGTAGATCCAGAAGACCAGTGCTTCCCCAACTTCAGTTTTCTGGGGGCAGTCTGTGAGCCATCCCCACCAGAAAACCTTGATGCAGAAGCAATTCTCGTCGTGACCTACGAAGTCGCCGGCACGAAACTTGGTCACACAGATGATCAGAATTGCCGAGCCAATGATTTGACACAAGATACTTGTCCAAACCTGCCACCGGGATGCGAGCACGTCCCTAACTGCGAACTGAATGCTCAAAGCAGTTCCTTGCGCGTCCAGCATCATGGCACCCACGATGGCTTCCGCTGATGTCAACTTACCGTTAATCATCTGTGTACCCAAGGCAATGGCGAGACCAAGATGCGTAATTGCCAGTCCAGCACCAAGCTGTTTGACGCCGAGGCAACGGTCGTGGAAATGGCCCAGCAGTACGAGAGCTACCATGAGCTCTATCTGGGCCCATGTGGCAAAGCGGATGCCTGCGCCGGCAATGTCGGCGTCAACTGTGGTAACTCGAGGAATCTTGCATGTGCTGTTGAAAGTCGAAGAAGAGGGAACGAAAACAGAAATTGCGTTTCCATAGTTGGGGGCAAAACTGGCCACAGCAAGCGAGACAGCAATGACGAGCATCACGGCCGGTGCTCCAAAATGCTCCAGTCGACCTAAAGGTTTGAGGAAAGTAAAGTTCCGCGCACTGGAAGACGCCCCAATTCGTGGACAATGGCCTCGCAGTCTTCCCAGTTCCGCCTCTTGTCTATGCTGCTCAGTTCCCCCAGTATCTGGCTGTTGCTCTTCCTCCTCGGCGTCCGGCTGCTGTTCTTCCTCCCCGTCATCTGGCTGCTGCTCTTCCTCCCCGTCATCTCGCTGCTGCTCTTCCTCCCCGTCATCTCGCTGCTGTTCTTCCTCCTCCATAGCGTATTCGCGGGCCTCGCGGGCCATGCGGGCTTTGCGCCTCACAAAATACTGGACAAGTTCAAATATAAAGATGGCAAGTCCGATCACGAGAGTCATCGACTGGAGAGCTAGGAGCAGACCTGCTACTGCTAGCCTCGCGACTATTGAGGCCATTTCTCAAGGTTGTGAGATATGTTAGATGGGGAAGTTTCAAAATTTCATAAAGAGGCGGGAACGATTTTCTCTCGATTGTAGTTAGAAGTGATGTCAATTATTTGTTGAAGATTGATTGAGATGAAGATATACACGTAGTCAGTCTAGATATATAGAGGTCCAAGCTGAGGGAACGAGAGAGATCACTCCCTCCCTAGCGCCAGGCGATGCGGTAGGCCTCCAAGTTACGTATCCGTGATAGCATACCACAGCCCAACACGGCAGGCGACATTAGACAGGTAAATTTCATGACATGTCTTTTCCGTGTGCTGTGATCCGGTCCATCGTCTCAGAATGCCCCTGTGGCTGAGGGCGGCTGGCCGCCTTGCAGCAAACAAACTTGGCTGTAGACCTATGAATCGCTAGCTGATGGAGTTTTCATGCAGCGTAGCCGTAGATATCACATCGGGGAGCAGTTCCAGTGCGGGTCACCACCTTTCTTGCGAGTTAGTGTGTGTGACATGCCGTGATTGCCCATCGGGCCATTCTACATAGCATAAGGGTCAAAGTTTTAGTTCATGTCGGCATTGCGCATGTATCCGATGTTTCCTGGCCGTACTATCGGCACCACGAAGGGATTCCTGGGGGATACGATCTAACTCTACCTCCCATACCATGCATTTCTCTCTAGGACGACCGAGAAGTCATGAGTTGGTTGTGCAGGAGGGCCCACATATCAGGGTGTGTGCTCTGGGCCGAGCATCAAGCAAAGCAAAACTTCGATCATATCGATATATACTTGTATCGATGTGTGTATATCTCAGTGTACGAAAGTTAGTGAAGGGAAACCCCGCCAGGTCCAACGATGGTACCACATTATCACCGCCATGTTGTCGGCTGGATGGCTGCACTGACCTCATATCCACAGCTTCAAGGATGAGACCGGTTCTATATCCACTAACGGTTAGCGTCCCCAACTTTAGCATTGTGCTACACAAACGACATACACGCCTACGAATTGGAGCCAGATATGTAACATGCCGTTTAATAATAGGCAAGGTGCTGGCAGGTTCTTACTTCATGCACAGAGAACTAGTGGATGATGGTGATAAGCTAAAAAAAATGACTCGCTTTGCCTAGGTAGGGGAACAGGAAGAGATTTTGGTGCCTCCATGTACCTGCGCAGGGGAGTAAGTAGCTACCGTAGGGTGAAGGGCGAGAAACTGGATGGCAGGCAGAAACGGCCCGCTCTTGGCGTTTCCTAGGGGTAACTGGTCTAGGCTCAGATCAAATTGCAGGCACACTCAGAAACGCCTCACGAGGTGCTAAAATTACTAGTTGGAAGAGCTGAGGGGGCTTGTGTCCGTGGAGGTGACGGACGGAGAGGGTGTAGATCGTGCTGGTAGATCAAGCAGAGCATGGGCCAATACACCCATGCTCCGCCGAGATTGTGCTAGCCTAATAGGTACTACGGTGCTCAAGTTCAGCCTACTCTACTACGCGTAATGGATGAACGGCTGGGCGCCAGATCATCTCACAGCTGAGGGAGGGAGCATTACGCGCTCACGGGAGGCAGCAGCTCGGTGGGTTCGTTAATTTGTTAAGATTAGTGATCTCAGCCATAACAGGTTTTGGTTCACGAAAAGCACATTTGTAATGCTTGCAAGCAGGCAGACAATGGAGGGACGTACTCCCCAGGACGGAGAGGTGGAGTGAGGTATAACCTAAATCTCTGAGACCAGACAGCTGGAACCTACGGAAATTTTTACCGTACCCATTGCCTCCGCTGTTATACACTAGTGGTATCCACTATTAGCACGACCTACGTCCCATCGGATACCCAGTGGGTGGAATCAAACATGGCACACGGAAGCTCTGTTCACGCACGGCGGGTGGCCGTGTTTTAGATCAGTCGCTTGGGCAGCCACCTAATGTTGGGTAAAGGCACTGGCCATCTGTGACTGGTGAAGGAGGCGGTGGCGGGATTTCCTGGCAGCACAGTGTTGGGGACAGTGTTAGGATCAACCCAACACCAAATTACGGTAATTCAACAGCCTGTTTGTTATCTGGTCAAACAAGCTGTCAGGGATCTAGTACCCGCTTGAATTAAGCACACTGTCAGCCGCAGAGTCATGTTAGTGGCTAACAGCCTATGTAAGCAGCCATCGCAACTGCCGCCTCTACCGTGTGCCCCCCCTTCCAGCTGGAAAAACAGCTGCCTCTCCATTTGATTGATTGTACCAGATTGCCGTAGCCCACCTTTGTTGAGTGTAGGTACCTGTAGCTGCCTCTGCTGTTATTCTTCATGACAAGCGACAGCTGCGAAGCCGACTTGTGCGTCGCTCGTGATGACGAGCATTCGATGCTAAGCTCACCTAGCTGTCTGCTTTTGTGACAAGATGCCGTGAAGACAAACTAGCTGTCTTCCATGAAGACGAGCGATCGCTGCGTGACTGGCCAGGCTGTCTGCTGCTGTGATGAATGACTGTCGCGACGGGCGATCGCTACCGGCATCGTCTGTTTGTCTTCCGTCAAGGCGAGCGATTGCTGCGTAGGTAGCTGACCCCGCTGCCTACTACTACGACAAGCGATTGCTATGAACCGACCCAGTTGTCCAGTTCTATTACAAATAATTTCCATCTATCTAGCCGTAGTCGTAGTCTTAATCTACCTAGCAAAGAAAAAGCCGTAGCTGCAATAGCCTTGAGAGTGTGCGGGGTTGGGTTTCTGATCGCCAGTCAGGCTTCCATTTGAAGAGTAAACGAACCTAGCAGCCAAACCACATGGACAGCTGTGAGCCCTCTGACAGCCTTCCCAAGCGATCCTGGATGTCCAAAACATCTGCTGTCAACGGTGAAAGTTTGGGTCTACGAGAACCAGCAGCCACAAGTATGTCAACGTGAAGATTGGATTGTTGCTCATCTATTGGGACCAAAATATCGGCCACAACGCCATTGTCTGCTTGCCCCTTTGGCCACGGTTCCCCTCAAACTCCTTCTAAATAAAGCGAAAGAGAAGGAAGGAAGAGCGGACGACCATGCCAGCCATCATCAACCTGCCCCTGTTGAGGGTACCAGCAGCCTCTCTGCCTCTAACCATACCCAATGTGTTATTAAGTAGGGCTTGCTTTGCCACTCGCTCTGGCCTCAAACGAGGCTCGGGCGCTTGGAAAGCTACAGACCCAGATTCCCTCCCCTTATATTGTGATCGATCGAGGCAAGGCTGTAGTCATCGAGGTGTGCGAGGAGCGGTGCCCCGGGAGCACGGGCGGACTCGTAGCAGAATATTATATGGATGTCGTCCACAGATCGTCAAGTAAAGAAAGGCTAATCGGCTGCCCTCCAACAGGCAAATAGGGCCTGTGTCGAGGAGCCCCATGTCGCGATGTTGCTTCGGTCGGTATGCGTAGATGTTCGGTCGATTTGCGTCGATATTTGGTCGGTTTGTGTTGATGTTCGGTCGGTTTGCGTGGATGTTCGGTCCTCGACTGTTTTGAACAAGGCGCTCTTCTTGCTGCCAGATTTCTTCTAGGCAGGATACGTCGCTGCGTGGGCTCGCACTCGACAATAACATGCCATCTTGGACCTTGTTGCGGCACTTCCACTCTTGACGTGGCATGTCCCGCTCTTATGTACCATGCTTTGATCTTCGCGAGGGTTGTCGGTGGTTTGTATTTCGATCGGCCGGTGCCCAACCTTTGCAAAGTCTTCAAGGCGCCTCGTAAAGATTTCTGACACAGCAGCATTTGCGCAAGTGACCTGAGCATGTATGCTAGGAGAGTCCCTCAGCTGCTCCAATGTCTAAGGGAGCTGGCAACTCTGAGTCGTTGGAAAGTGTCTGGGCATCGGTGATGGAAGCCGCCTTCTGCTTCACAGACGCCCGGCGACGCAGGGATGCTTTTCCATTGCTCTAGCCGCCAGCTTTTCGATCACCACTACTAACTGTAGTATAGGGAGCCCTTCGGAAGGTAGGAGAGGGTTTCTCGCTTCGTTTCGGTCGTCGTGTTTTCGGGCGTGTCTGGTACGCTGGATGGGACGTCTTCTGGGTCGAACGAAGTGGTCGGGGCAGCAGTCGAGGGCGGCGCCAATTGGGTTTCCTTTCTGTTTCTCGACCGCAATGCAGGGCTGCTTCGTATCTCGACGGCGGGCTTCGTAGTTCGACGGCGGGTTGGTTGTTGGATGGAGGGTTGGAGACGAGCGTCAATGACGGCGTGGGAGGTTCATCGAACGCTTTCGGTAGATTAGTTTCGCCACTGACTACCGCCGCCGCCGCTACGGCTTGGGGGAATATCCTTCTTCTCACTGGGGAAGTCTCTAATGACCTGTTGCAGGTGCTAATACAATTCCGGCGTGTTGTCTTGTGCTGCGCACGAAGCAGGCTTGCCCCCGCACGAGACAACAAGCCACCTCGTCCAAAAAGGTCGCGTTGGCAGCTCCCCACGCCATGTAGCCATTGGTGCAATCCATCGGGCGGTGAACACAGGTCTGGTACGACGTCTCGTTGACTTTCGTCGTGTTCGTGGAGGGTGTTCGGTAGAGGAGACGGAGGTGCATGGCAGCGGAAGAGATGGCACGGCGACACAATAAGGCTGAGTTTGTCACGTCATGCAGTCCTCGATCTGTACCCTTTGATTTTTTAGGTAACCTCGACGCCACGCTGATAAAGCATTGACAGCGCAAACCAATCACCGCATTGCCCGTCTTTTCGCGATTTGGTGTTGTTTCGTGATGATAGCCTTTGCACATCGTAGCTTCGCATGCCGGCCAAATTGCAGTACACTATGGCATTGAACAGTAATTGCGAGGATACCACGAAAGGGAAGAAGCAGATTTAAGTGCAATAAACCAGAAACACTGCGTAACATCGCCGACGTGCAGATTCATGCCTCCGTGGTGTGTCTCTTCAGAGTCTGATTAGCATCCCAATGCACAAAGAGATTTTTCACACCTCTCAGATGGCCAATCTACATTCAAATACACACTTAAGTCCCTGAATGCCTTCTATTGAATATCATTATTGATTGTCTGCTCTAGTTGAATTGTTTTGACCCGACTGCACCGCAGGCTGGGTTCCATGAGCCGTCAAGCCAGGCGCTCCTCCGGCCCCTGTTGCAACTTGCTGCCACCTTTCCACCTCATCAAGCATCAAGCAGACAGGATGACAGCTTCACCATGGGCTGTTGATAGCTCTGCAGCTTCGGCAATAACACCGTGAAACGCTGCAGCGCCGCCCAGCATCCCCTCCTGGCGTATCTGCCGCAGTGATTCTGGATCGATCACGCCCCGTGGCAGACGCAAATGGTGGATGGCGTCGCCGTGTGAGTGGATGATTTCCTTTTGCAATTGCTCGTACTTGACTTTCACTTTCACTGGGCCAAGATTCTTCTGCCACCATTCTGCTACACCGTCGAGGCTGAAATCCCAAGTTCCGCGCCACGTCAGTGAGGCTTCGTCCTGGCTCTGCCTCCCCTTGTGATAAATGAAAGCGCACGCTTCTCCCCTTTTCCCATTCCAAAGCGCCAAGTCCTGCAGCTTCGGCATTCTCAGCGCGACCCGACCGGCAGTGAGAAGCAGCTCCTGGATAAGCCCTCCATTCCCCGTGGGGATTAGAGAGGGTGTTGTTAGAGCCAACGACTGAAGGCGTTCCCATTTGTAAGTAGGCTGACATTCCTCATAAAAGACACGAGCACAGAGCATGTATGAAACAGAGAGGTGCTCGAGACTGCAACTCCGAAGGGCAAGAGCACCGACTAGCTCACGAGGGAAGAGGAATTCTTCGTGGGCAAGGACAGCTCCACTAAGAGCCAATGCCGTCTGAACATCCTCATTAAAGTCTTCCAGAATAGATATTGTCTTCACCTCAGCGCCCATTGCTTGGTTTAGCATAGCCACCAAAGCTATCCAAAGACCAACCAATTAGCTTCAGAACCACGGGTTGCAACGCGTCTCACCATAGCCTCCATATAGGTACATACCAGTGTTGCGATCAGACCTGAGTTTCGGGCCGGAGTGACGCCATGGCTCATACACAAAATTCTGCAGTCGAGGGAGACACTCTACAATACGCCGTATTCCCATCGGATGCATTTGTCGCCGACATTGCCGACGCATCACGAGATCTGTGACTGCAGGAACCTCGAGAAGCTCTTCTGGTGGTCGATTCAAGAATAAGGAAAAGAGTCGCCGTATATCACTGTCATCAAGCCACCTCTGACGACCATTATACCAGTCGTGCTTCGGATCATGATAGTGGTACCCTGGCTCGAAAGCGCGAGGATTAAACTTGTGCTCCATATCACTGCGTGTGTATGCACTGAGTTCCAACACCAACCGGTCCCTGGGCTTCCAAGAGGAGATGATTGAGAACATTTTAACGATAGCACCTTTGACAACGGTATTATTGCGATCGCTCCAATATCGGGACTCCTTTGTTGTGCAGTTACGGCAGCTGTATCGTGGCAGTTCGATATGCAACCAAACACGACGAACCAAATGGGCTGACCGATTGACCATGTGTTCCATGTCCTCCAGACATGAGATTCGCAGCTTTAGGGCGAGGAAGTTCTTAGGCTCCAATACTGCTTGCCACTCCCGAGAGACAGCGGCGAAAGACGCCCAGCCACAATGCCGTTGCCGAGCAATTTCTTCCAAGATCATTGCGCGGATCTCCGCAGGCAGGTAATACCAAGTCCCTTCCATATTTCTTTGCCGAGGCAAGGGTTTAGTGTAAAAGAAGAATGATTGCAACAACCCGGTCTGTCAAATGTACGGACGCACAGTTCGCGCTCAGCATGTAATATAGGCCTAAAAGAAGAAGACGCATCGCACTTTGCCCAAGCACATAAAAAGGCAAAATTTTGTGTAGTCGGCGCAAGGCCTTTCGAGACGAGCTTGGGCGAATAAAGTTTGTTTAAACTTTTGACAATCATCAACTAATTCTATTGGTGCCCGCTTTAAAAGCAATTCTGAGGGCCTCGTATGCTCAAAGGCTTAGGATAATGCGACTTGATGCTCATAAGTGTCCCATGGGGAATTATCCCAAACAACATCGATAACAACACCACCACCAACACCAACAAAAACAACAAGAGAGAGTCCAATGTAGATTGTCCCTAGGCTGTCCTTGCATTCAAATACACTCTTCCATACAAAAGAAGATATCTAATACCATTTCAAACTTTTACTAGGACCGAGTTACGATCGGGACGCATCGTGTCCCCCGCCGCCGCCGCCTGCAACACGGCCTCTCCAACCTACGCCGTACAATCATCCCCATCATACCTCTTTCAATCCAGGCTCTCAACGGTGTCTTTTTCCGACCGGGCAACAGTCGCCCGCAATCGGGCAAAGCGCGTTTCTGAGCGCGCCGAAAGGGCTCTTCTGGCCTCACTATAACTGCAACTAATTTTTTATTGTTCTTACTCCCAATGAACATCCACCCACTCATCTACCGATTTCGTTGGGCCATCGGACAAGGCAGAGCATTCGGATGCTGGTTTTATATGCTCCCTAACATGCAAAAGAGGATATCTAATATATCTTTCTGCTGTTTCTAGGCCCGAGTTACGACCGGGACGCATCGTGTCCCCCATCGCCGCATTCAACCTCGCCGCTTTGGCCTATTCAAAGCCCGTCTCGGCTCGTCGTGCCTGTACCAATTTTCTGTCACCTCGCTCTTGTCCCGGCACCATCGTCTGTTCAATGGAATTCATCTCTTTCTGCGCTGTAGGGGAAGAATCATGGGACTAGCCATTAGGTCTACCTCCATAATAGTAAATAAGACCAAATTATTCATCAGCGGAGTTAGTGTAGTGGTTATCACGCATCGTTCACAGTTTCTACCAGAAAATGCCGATGAGGTCGCGAGTTCGATCCTCGCACTCCGTACTCTTTTTGCATCTCTTTTAAATTAACCCCTCCACTTCCAAAAATGCATGTCTACACGCGCAATCTCTTTCTTCAATTCAAATAGCTCTTCTAGGATGTGTTACTGTTGTGAGGAGGAGGCGCCTCAACATCTGAAATACCCTCTGGTAAAATCTTAAGCCAGCGATCACCCTCCGTCCCGGTCCATCAATGCCGGAACAGTCTCGCACACCATTTCCATCCTTGTGACGCGCCGACAGGGAGAAGTCTCCTGAAGGTCATGGCCCTTCCGTGGCAGAAAGACAAAGCACGGATTCCATCCTTCTAGAAGAACGAGGCGCGATCGCATGCGCAAACGCGACAATGCCGCCTTTAGCCGCAGGCAGATGGGCACCTCGGGAATGGCAGGCAGTGCGGCGATGTGGGATGTGAAGACCAAGCTTGGGTCAAAATCCCCGGTCTTCTTGTAGGGCCTGCTTGGTCACGCGAAAGTAGTGCTGGGACAGATACGCAGTTTACGGTGCCTTTGAGATTGATGTCCAGTAAGGAGAAATCCGGCTCCGGAAGGGACGTGCTGGAATGGGAATCATGGAATGAACATTTTTAGGTCCGTAACCTGGAGCCGACCGCCATCATGCAAGGTCTGATTGAAAGTAGTGCTCAACGAACCTCAATCCCAGGTATCAGCTCGGTAGAAACTCGCTTCTATTTTGCCAGCCGTTCTTGTCCCTAGATTCACTGTTATCAATAATTGAAAGGAGACCACCCAATTATCCAGCACAACAGCAGCCGCGGCATGCGCTATGCCGAAGGCTTAATCATAAAGCGGCGAGTACGCCCAATGCCAACACTAACAAGGGATTCACCTCCACCAGTCACCAAAGCTACTTGGGGCATCTCTATTTCTACGCCTCGCCTTTTTCTAGGGATAAATTGGTCCGAGGAACGGGGGATGGTATAACGCGCGCTCCGTCCAAAACATCAGGTGGTCTAGGGTAGGATGTGATGCGTCATTGAGAAGGAACATGATTCCGTAATACGGTGGAGTCACTTCGGGGAAGAATCGGCTTCATTGGCCGAGTCAAGGATATCTCCATGGACTCCGCGGACTTTCTCCAGCTGCCTCAACGTTGGCAGCAGCAGCTCTGGTATTGCTGGTCCGCACCTCTCCATTCATTCCTGTCTTGCCATTCATGGATCGGAAATCGACTCGCCAGTCACGCCAAGTGTCTTGTCACTTCTGCAGGGAGCGCAAGCTCAAGTGCAGCCGTTCTTTTCCCTGCTCCAACTGCACATCCCGTGGAGTTGAATGCCCCGCCGTCGCCCCTGCTACCGCCATCCGGCCGACCAGTCACACGATTCCCGTCGGTAGCCATGCTGAGATCCTCAATAGATTGGCGCGGCTCGAGTCGCTCCTGGCAGCTCAGCACGAGAAAACGCCCCTGTCGCCACCCGGCTCGGCGTCCAACTTAGTAGGCGGAGGTAGTGATGTGCCTGCTCCACAGCCGCTCAAGTGGCCACTGTCTACGAAACTACAGACTTTGGTTGAGGACGCCGTGTCAATACATTCTCGATGCCCGGGCTTGGGTTTTCATGTAATTTTCTGGCTTTTCTTGAAGTTGTTTGTCCATTAAAGACTGACTTTGTTAGACTCTTTCCCCAAACAATTCATTTATTGTTCGCATTTGCCCCCTTCGCCTCTTCAGGGAACTGCTTCCCGACGACGCCAACTCATTGCCGACAAATCAACTCAAAAAGATCTGGCTGCCTGACCGGAAGGAAGCCAATGTTCTCATCAAGAGATACCTAAATGGATTAACTGTCTTTCTCCACGTGACCCATGGGCCCTCAATTAAAAAACTGGCAGCTGAAGTATATGATGCGCTCGAAGCAGGAGGTTCTCATGTCCCGACTGGATATCTCCTCCTCCTCCTTGCAATCTTTGGAAATGTCATTCTTCTGTGGACGGCATGTAGCGAGGAAGAGGAAGCACTGTTCCCCCATGCCGGAGAGGCTAGTGCGCAGGCGACCTCGTGGATCAAAGTGGCTTTAGAAGTACTCTACAGCACACAAGCACACAGTGCCCCATCCCTTGAATATGCCCAGGGACTCACCATCCTGTCCTTCACCATTCTCAACATGGACGGCGTTACACCTCGAGGCCTGTCTTTATTATTCCAGGCTACGGCAATAGCACGTGAGCTCGGTCTGCACCGGATTGACCATCAAAGACAAGGGTTCCCATCAATGCAGTTTCCTGCTATCACAGGTATACGGGCTGAGATCGGACGCCGCGTTTGGTGGTATCTCGCCTCGGCAGATTGGTGCGTGATGCCAGCTCAGGCAACCGTGAGATCATTCATTCTAATCAAGACCATAGGCTTCTCTCAAGCAGTTCAAATGCACAAAGAGGAACATATTCCATTAACCCACTCCACATGGCCGTCCAAAAACCAATGAACATCCACGATTGGGACATGGCTGAGGATGGGATGACGGCGAAGCCCATCGAGGTGTTTACGGCCATGTCATATTCGATATACCGTATCCGACTGGCCGAGGAGATTCGCATGCTGACTGACAAGTACCCTCTGATTGCTTTTGACCCCTACGCTGTGGCTTACAGTCATGTTATGGAGGCTGATGCGGCGTTTGATCGACTACTGTCCAGCCTTCCTCCATTCTTCCGGGAACAGCCTGGTGATGTAAACGTGGTAGACCCGGATATGGATCGCGAAACCCAGGGAACCATGATGTGGCACAAACACCTGCTGAACCTCTCCATTAATGGACAACGGATCAAGCTTCATCTTCCGTATCTGGCTCGAGGAGCAGCAGAGCCAGAGTATGCACAATCTCACAGGATCTCTATCGAGACCGCCTGGAAGGTAATTAATAGTGAATACAAATTGCGACGGGAGAATTCCACTTTCACCTCACCACGCTTCAAGCTAGGGGTAGTCATGTACGGCTTTTTCCTTTCTGTGGCTGTACTTGTCCTTGACATGTGCCTGGCCACTGACGAGGCTGAGCGAGAGGCCAAAAAACAGCAGACGCAGCCGGCTTGGATGATTTTGCTGGAGGCACAATCTGAGTCAAGTATTGTTGGCCCTGCGGTCGAGCTCCTAACCTTCATCATGCAGAAGCATAATGTTGGTTTTGACACGATGGCGATTTTGCCACCCCAAGCGATCACGGTTCCTGGACAAGAGACCACAGGCCAGAATACGCCACATGCTAACTGGGAAGGACATGTATTTCAAAGTACGGAACCGCACCAAATAGGCGAGAGCACGATGGAGAGAGATGCGGACGCGGTGGATACGTACTTCAATATGCTTTGGATGCTTGAAAAGCCATTCATATGAGGACTCACAATTTATATAGAGATTCATAGGATAGATAAAATGGATTTACTAGAGAAATTTCGGGATTAGTTGAAGACAGGTATCGCCAAAAGGCTCGATTGGAAGTTTCTACAACTGCATCGTGTACATTAGCAACGACTGAGTCTCCCATGGCCTCGTATAACAGACTCTTATCATTACCAAAGCTGGTGACAAGGCCACAGCGGAGTGAGAGAGACCAGAATTTGAATTTGAAAAGACCGTAACTTTATTTTTATCACTTCATTTACCCATCAATGCTTTAGAAAAAGGACGAACATGACAACGCCAGCCCAAGTCGAAAATGAACGGGATGCTCGGATAAGTATCAGTTCACATAAATGAACGGCGATCGGTGAATCGGGCACAAAAAGATGCCGCTTGACGGCCGGGTGGCGTCTTTGTCCGTAGCGTGTCCGTAGCCCGCGGAGTTCCATGGCCACTCTTGAACATAACTGGATGTTGAAAACAGAACCCCCAGATTGATGAACTAAGCAGGAAACATTTCCCATGTCATTACATCTACTCTCGGGCTGAACGGAAGGTCATGTTTGCTCAATAGACCCCTTTCATACTCTTGTCCACATGTGTTAAGAGAAGATCGCCTGTCTCTGCAGGCTTTCATCTGCTCAGCACCCCTGGTCGTTCCCTACTTTCTCTGTTCCTTGAATCTTTTTCTTTTCTAACCGAACACTCTCACAAACCCTTCTTCTGAAGTTGGATGCCCAGGAGCAAGACGATTTAACCATGTCGACGATCGAAGGCGACAGTCGTTCCGAATACGAAGTGCCACGAAATAATTCGATACCATACTGGCGGTTGATCATCGATCAATCTGGGGTCACGGAGGAAGTCTTGAATCATGAATACGAGGGTTCAGGGACAATCGAAGACCCGTACATCGTGCAATGGATCCCCAATGATCCCCGGAACCCGATGCAATGGAGCCAGTTCACCAAGTGGTTCGTAACGATGACAGTCGCAATCGCCACCTTGGCAATTGCTCTCTTATCGTCCGCCTACACCGGAGGAACTGTCGAGATCATGAAAGAATTCGAGGTCAGCTCCACCGTGGCTACCCTCGGAGTATCACTCTTCGTCCTCGGTTTCGCTATTGGACCTCTCCTCTGGGCTCCCCTGAGTGAGGTTTTCGGTCGGCAAGTCCTCTTCATCGGGACTTATGGAGCTCTGACTGCGTTTAATGCTGGTGCTGCCGGTGCAAAGAACATAGAGACGTTGCTGATTCTGCGCTTCTTTGCTGGCGCCTTTGGGTCTTCGCCGTTGACGAATGCCGGGGGCGCCATAGCGGACATGTTCCCTGCCTCGCAGCGTGGATTGGCCATGGCTCTTTTTGCGGCAGCGCCGTTCTTGGGACCGGCCATTGGACCGATAGCTGGGGGCTTTCTTGGAATGAATGCCGGTTGGCGTTGGGTATTGGGCTTCTTGGCTATCCTGTCTGGTGTTCTTTGGATTACAGGATCATTGCTTCTGCCAGAAACGTACGCTCCCGTGATTCTCCGCAGACGTGCCGAGAAGCTGTCGGCTCTGAAGAAACAGCATTACATCAGCTCCATCGACAAACAGCAAGGCAAGGCCGACCTCGGCGCTTTGCTTAAGACGGCGTTGTCGCGGCCATGGGTGCTGCTCTTCACCGAGCCCATAGTTCTCATTCTCTCGATCTACATGGCCATCATTTATGGTGTCTTGTACATGCTCTTTGCCGCCTTTCCGATAGTTTACCAGCAAGCAAGAGGATGGAACCAAGGCATCGGCGGCCTGGCATTCCTCGGCATCATGGTTGGAATGATGCTGGCGATTTGCTATGTGATTCCTGACAACAAGAGATTCATCCGGGTTCAAGCTGAAAATGGTGGATTTGCGCCCCCGGAGGCTCGTCTCCCTCCATCTTGTATCGGAGCGGTAGCTCTGCCAATCGGTCTCTTCTGGTTTTCCTGGACCAACTCGCCATCTATCCACTTCATGGTTAGCATAGCTGCCGGTGTTCCATTCGGCTTCGGCATGGTCCTGGTGTTTTTGAGCAACATGAACTATCTCGTCGACGCGTACACGATCTACGCGGCGTCGGTACTGGCGGCGAATTCGATCATTCGATCTCTCTTTGGAGCCGCGTTCCCTCTCTTTGCAAAGGAAATGTACGATGGGCTGGGCATCCACTGGGCGTCGTCCATCCCCGCCTTTCTCGCTCTTGCATGCGTGCCCTTCCCTTTTCTATTTTACAAATATGGCGGTTCCATCAGGGCGCGATGTAAGTATTCAGCCCAGTCTGCCGCATTCGTTGAGAAAATGCAGCAGCAGCAAACAGGCCGAGTAGGAGAGGTTGGTGGTGCCTCAGACAGTGAGAACCGTGACGACGATAGGACGATCGTGGAGGAACCTACTGCGTCACAGATATTCGTCTCAGATGCCGAGAGGGAGGTTTCTAAAGAGAAATAGATTGTTTGCGGGATTGAGGAGAACCAAGTTGGCATTCACTGTGGAGGTGGTCGATGGCGCTACGCGACTAGGCGGGAACTCCTGGAGTTCGTGAGAACTGGATTTCTCTTTGCTGAATACTTTCGATATTTAATTGGTTGAGCTTCAAATTAGAATTTCCTTTCATGGAGTAGTTATTTTATAGACGCAGAAAGGAACACTGGCCTTGCATTATTCCCTCACTGTCAAAAATCAATAGATGGGCATTGGTGATAACTGCCTGATTACAAAATTGTGCTACAAGCTAACTAAGAAAGCGAGGTGACGTTTTAGATTATATGGAAGGTTTCCCTGATATTGCCATGAATATTTCCTATGTTGATTGGTCTCAAAGGTATCCAGAAGCATAACTCCTGGCCGCGGGGCCCTACAATATTGCCTGATTTTGAACCATCATACGTTTGATTGTTTGAGAATTTCTGCCTGGGCGTACTTGGCAAATTATCAGTTACCAATCCCATTCTGGTTGAGGAGGCAGGTTCATGATTCATTGATTCCAACAACTCTTAACTATTAGATTCCCTTGGCATTTCGGGGTAGATGCTCACACTCGAGTAGTCTACACATCCATGTGATTGTTCTTCTAAATCAATGATGGAAAGTGTTCCTTCTTATTTTCTTTCCATGGCAAAAAGGCAAAATTGGGCTCGATGGTATGCCAAAAAGCACAGCCGGGTGAATGAGTCGACCACGCCAGGAGTCGAACCTGGAATCTCTAGAGAAGCTATTATGAGCCGAAATCTAGCGCCTTAGCCATTAGGCCACGCGGCCAATCAATGAACTGTATTGGATGAGTAATCACTTGGTTGTTGTTTAGTAATATAAGATACTGTTGGTCCTGGAGATTGGAAACCAAGTATCTGAGTTGTCTATGTCGTTGTACTTCAGGCATTGAATGAAGCTGAAATTGATAGTTGATCATTGCCAAACTGTTATTCACCGGCTACCCATAATTTTGTAATTAGACCAGTAGACTAAGGGGAGTGCCTTTCGGAGTGTGGCAATATGTAACTGGTTATATGAGGGCCAAAAATCCTCCCGATAATGTTGTTAAGTTTGAAAATTAGATGAACGAGAAGTCACTCATTAAGATGTCCACCAATTCTATATATCAAAAAAATATCCAGAATCCCAAGATCCTATGTAGAGTATCAAGTTTATACTCCTCGGGGTGATCAATAGATCCTAAATTATTCGCTCAAACATTAATACAACAAAAGACTCGTTTGTTAAAAGTCATCACAAACTTCAGACCCCTCGGATTATGGCCTTGTATTCATAAAAAAAGAGAAAGAAAGAGATACAGATCAATATCCAGAGCTCGCTATTGACACGCGCTGCGATGGAAGCCCAAGTGGAAAGTAAGAAGGACGTGGCCAGACTTAGTAGCCAAGGTATATTTTTTGTTGCCGTGTACTGACAGCACAAAAATGGTATATACTTGTTATTCGTGGTTGAAGGATAATCCTCATCCGAATAGGAAGCCAATGGTATCGCGAAATGCTCAGCTGTACAGTTGCATTTCCCTTGTTTTTACAACGTAAGAGAAATTGGTAATACTTAGTAGGTATCCGGCATCTAATTCGTAGTCTCGTTTCTCCACATTATATTTGTTTCTAGCCAGGTAATGTACGCTTCTTTCTAATGGCGGCGAAGACGCTTTATCTTCCTGGCAGCTCTCCCCTTACCCGGTGGCTAGAGCTTTCAGGAGTCGGGTTCTAGAATTGGCCCAAAACTGTTCTTCATTTTGCAACACGGGCTGGTAGCTTAGTAGACAGGGCGAAGGAGGTTGTCTGTCGTGCAGCTGGTCACAATCACTCAGTTGGGGATCATCACTATGCGCGGCATACAATGGCTAGAACACAATATAGCATACCAAAGCTCTTTTTACATAAGGTAGGGACCTCATTTTTCATTAAATCAATAATATAAGAATAATGAGATATTCTACGATACTTAGATTTATATTGTATTTATGAATCGGTTCATTGTTTTGATATTGTATTGATATTCAATGCCGTGTTTCACATCAATCGCATGACGGCACCCAAACGAGCGCTGGTAGAGGCGATTCTCGTTGTAAACGATGCAATCCCGAACGCTCCCCTTCAGATTTTGGCTCGATACCATATCTTTCGCGTATCCCATTCATCAAAATCACTTTGTGATAAGAAACCCGTGCCTGTAGTGTCGTGACTTGGTGGCTTATTAAGGCGACATTCTGCACATTTGTGGCCTTCCCCCTCCTTTGGGATGAGGGGCAAGGCATCCCGACTCAGCCTCAGCTACCGGCGCTTACTGCTGAGCATGCGCGGGAGTGCACAGCCAGCTTGACCAAGTGTTGATCTGCCTAAATGTCCAGCCGAGTTATTCAATCTATCCATCCGCTTGCTCATTTCTGCCGGCTGACATCCCGAGCCAACTTCAAGCCACCAGTTCGTACTCTCGAAACCAAACCGGGAGGCCATGAGCGCATTGAGTGTTGCCTGCTCTGTCGCGGGTCTCCTCACCACAGGGCTTGAGCTCGCTAAAGTCCTGGCCCCATACATCTTAGCATTGAAGGAAACGCCCAGGATTGCTACCCATGTCCTCTCCGAGATACGGGCCACCAACGTGATACTTTCGGGGCTTCAGAAGCTTTTCACTAAGCTGTCTGACATTTCCCCCAAGAGCGCTGCACTGATAGAGCTTGAGGAGTTGATCGTCATATTGACCGATGGCGTTCTAATATATTCGGAGCTGGAGAGTACTGTTGGGCCTCTCGTTGCATCTGATGCGCCCGAATCATGCCCTGCACTTCTCGCGCGGCTGCAGTGGACAAGGAAGGAGTCTCTGTTGGAGGCCATTTTGATGAGGCTGCAGGGGTTCAAGGGGTCCATTACACTCATCCTCGCCATTCTCCAGACGTACGACAATTCTGTTGCTCGCAATCTCCAGTTTGTGTACAATACTAACCAGAACTTAGCGATTCTCAAATTCAAGCAGAAGAACATCACGACAGACTCTCAAGAAATATCAACACTCTCTTAGAGAATGACGAAGATCTCTGGCGGCGCGTAGGAGGCGTAGGACTTGCGTCCGAGGAGAATAAAATCTCAACTGCTCAAAACAATGAAAACAGCGGATAAACTTAGGCCAGGAACATTATCGCTGACACTACCGTCGACTTCGAGGTAATTCCATCATGCGCTGCTCCAAAAGGTCCTCCTCACCCCTTTGAACTAGATCTCGAAGCGTCGCGTGTCTACCGCATGGCAAAGCGAGACACGATGGATTTCTCATTCCGAAGCTCGCTTGCTGGCAGCATCGCTTGGTCTATATTCTCAGGCCTCAGCATAAGCGACATACCAGCCGTGGCTGCCATCGCCCTGCCAATACAGCCGAGAGATCTCTCAAACGCCCACAGATACGAGTTCAGCAACTCACTATGGAATCCAGAAACGACTGGCCATCAACTCGGAAGTTGCTCTGGGACAATAACCGAGGAGGCTCTGGATATTGAGAGATCCAAGAAAATAATTGGAACCGTTACTCCACTCTCGAGGCCTTGTGCTTCGTCTGAGTCTATGTTCTTCTATACCCAAGGCAGCGCCATCATCCGTGTTCACCACAACACTCTCGCCATGGATACTCAGCTTCAACACCACAGTAACGACATCATACTGATCGAAGTAAACAACTCTAGTCGGAGAGAGTCGGGTAAATATGTGTTTACCTATGACACGGGAGGCGTGGCAGTTGTGTGGAATCTGGCAACAGGCAAGGAGGTGTCTCGGTTCGTCTCGCCACAACTGACATGCGCTGCCTGGATGAGAAATGGAGACTTGGTGCTCGGTAGGCTCTGAACCCCTATCTCGAAGATTTTGGCCAATACTGAATGTGATAACCCAAGGGAATGCCAAAGGTTGTCTGATTTTCTTTGACCCTATAACAACACAACACTTCCCCGTCACTACATTCTCTGGCATAGCAATATCTACAATTGCACAGGCCGAAGAATGTGACTATATAGCCATTGGGTTCGTCCTATGAAAACCTGCTTGATGCTTTTGTACCTGGACTAATCCGTATATAGCTGTCAAACCGGCGGGGTTTTCATAGTTACTCCTCCTCCTAACTTCGCCATTTTGTATCATGCAGCTCGCCGCCCACAGCTTTCTTTCCCAGTCGCAACACTTAGATGGCATCGGACCCCATCCCTACAACAGAAAACCATGTTAGCTGTGCAGTACAGCAACGGGGATCTGCGAGTATGGAGTATGGGGAAGGCCTACTCCCCCGACAACCCAATAAAAACTGTACGGGTCTTGGATAAAAATGGGATTGACGAACATGTGAATTCCCATTGGATGGCGTGGTCAAAGAACGGAACTATCGTTCAATATTCGGATTCGTATGCCATCATGAGCCTTAAATCTCTCGCCAAATATTCATACTAATAGATAGTAGCGGAACACTGGCCTGGGATGTGCGCACCAAGTATGTTACGCAATACAACATCCCTCTACCTGAAGGCATCCAAGGCATGGCAGTATACGGCCCCGAGGCAAGGCTGTTTACAATCGGGCCCGATGACACTATCCAACAATTCAACGTTAGGTATCCGCCTACATTAGTTGCGAGTGTCCAGCATCCTCTTCAATTCTTTTAGCTTGGAGACGTATTAGGTATGGTCATTTTCTGGATATACGGCGCAATAATGCTATTATTGTATGAAGGAGTTGGTTTATTGAGACGAATCATCATCCACTATGCAAGGATATTTTTTTCAAAATGATTTTCCTAGACACAATGGGTTGGGGGTTTGTTGGTTATTTTGTAAAAGAAACCTTGTAAAAAACATTCCCCTATGCTTCCCTACAGCTGCATAATCCACAGCACCTGTCACCACTTACCAGCTCAATGGACACTATCGTTCACTCATAGCTACTCATCCTCAAGGTTTTTCTCTCTAGGCCGAAGTCGGCTTGGAATCTGGGTTTAAGTTGTTCAGACGGAGGCCCCCGTGGCTCATCCTTGTGATACCGAAGGCCATTCCAAGACATATGACATATAGCCATGACCCGAGGATGATCTCGGCGTATCGGAGGGCCAAACCCATATTCATGAATGATTTGGCGGACATGGAGAGCTTGTAACTAAAGCTGTCGATGCCAGCGATCACTGCCATGGCGACGTGACGAATGGCAGTCAAGGAGGAGATGGCAAGCAGGTGAGACCCGAGCTGAAAGGAAACTAACAGTTAGCCAAAGCCGGGGAAAATTTTCAAAGAGTGGTATACCAATAACGGTGTAATTGACTTACCTTATTGTGAGGTGGGCTTCGGGGCTGCCTGATAGTATAGAACAAGGACGCAAGGGCAGTAATTCCGAGCAGAAGTCTAGGTGCGAAATAGAGGGCTATGAATGACTTCAGTAGAGGGGACATGCCCTCGTCATCGGCCCCAGTGAGCAGCAGGTCCGTGTTGATGACGAGCTGCTGATCAACAAAGAAGCCGATAGCGGGCAGCAAGACAACGATAAAAGTAGCGTAGTTGAGCATACGGCCGTTGTTTCCAGTCGATGCATCGAGCCGAGGGCTTCCACCCTGGCTAACGAAGGCATCGATCATCTGCATGCCTCTGGCAAACTCGATCTGAGCACTGACAAATGCAGCATAGCCCAAGATACAGAAGATGTTACTCAATATGTCAAGTTGTGCCGAGCTCATGGCCTCCTTGTATTTGCCCGGGGCGTCGTCGGATGATTCAGAGGTCACCTGCAAGACGGAAGCGATGAATTTGAAGATTTGGCCACTGGAGAATGGCGTGTTAGTATAGAACTTCCATGTTGTCAATTGGACATGAAAATGATACTGACAGGACAAACAGGCAGCAGCTTGCTTTGACCCAAGGAATGCCAGTTCGCGCCTCGTCGCCCTGGCGGTGGCTCATAAACAGGATGAGGAGGGTGAGAATAATGATGGCTATGCCGGCTATGACGGTCAGGACAGTGACTGGGATGGCACTGACGACCAGCATTACGGTTCCACCTCCGACTGAAGGCATCTTGATAGATTTTCTGGTGATAGAAGGGTAGGTTATTTGTCTAAGAATTGAACCAAGTATGCTCAAAGGAGGAAGTGAAAGGAAGAGCCAGTATCACAGGAGCAGTTAAGCGAGGATGCTAAAGGACTCGAATAAGAGAGCCGGCTATGGGCGACAGCTAGTGCTATGTGGTGTTCTCATCTCATCGATGTCAATAAGGGCGCACCCTCAACATTTATGTCTTGCAGCATCACATTGTAAATTGAACAGCCAGTATCACTTGGCAGTGCAAAGCGAAGCAAGCGGCTGAGAGTCGAGCCAACCAGTAGCTAAAATTAGAGCGCAGAGCAATGCTGTTTTGGAAACATAACTATATTTCGACGCCTCGTCGTATTGAATAATAATTTTGGATGCACTGTGCCATTGTGCTGCGCGGAGGGACGAATGAGAAGCGACCAGAGAGAAGCCCCTGTCGAACATGAGACTTGGGGGTAAGACGAAGGATGCTGTGGTTGTTCATAAGTCAGCTACCCAGGGCTAGAAACTTTCTGACTACTCCCCAATCAGCCTTATTTGCAAGCTGATGCTTAACCGGGTTGCTGCTGATCATCTAGTATCCGATACGCCGACCCCTGCCAACTTGTTACATGGCCGTTTTATTCCTGCGGCGCGAAGTTCAATTTGGTCCAATGGCGTCGATCTTGGAACGCCAAGTGGCTCCTTCTAAATTCTCCTTACGTAGCATTCAATGAAGCTGATCTTTTTTTATCATTTAGATTCGCTTCCCTGCGACATCCTGAGACTTGAGTCGTGTTGGCGTTCGAATTTGGGAGACATAAGTAGATACGCTTAATGCTTGGAAGTGGCCTTATTTCAGGAAGGATGGAGAGGTCGTGTGATCCTAATCACAATTTAGGTTTGAGAATAATAATTTTGACTCATAAGCTTACTGTTCGTGCATGTCTTATATAAGTTGATCACCCACTTGGGCTGAGATAATACATCTGGCCACGGTATGCAGTTGAGCTGGTCTGACACATCTGCAATATCATAGACGTCAGCCCTGATTTGTTCAACCTACGTGCAAATACCCGATTTTCAAGATTTTAAGTCGCAGCAAGAAAGGTCTTGGTTGCACTGAGCCGTGGACTTATGACACAGTTGAAGGGGTTGTCTGCGGACTCTGCCGGAATGGCTGATCCTCGCTCGACCCATCCGCCTTTCAGAGTAGTGCTAATGGCTGGCCGGTAAAATACTAAAAGAAAAGAATTCAATTTTGTGATTTTATTCTACCCTGTTTCTTCCAAAAGGCTTGTAATAAGGGGCGCGAGAGTTGTCCTGTCGCAGCTTGACTCGAGTCGAGTGTCCCGCCCCCCTGGGCTAATCACCATCCTCCCAGAGCAGCAAAATAACATTGAAAGACAAATTATCGCATTGTAATAGATAACAGTTCAATGCCTGTCACTCATGCTAACTAGCAGTACTTAGATGGAGTGTATCGGCTATTGCAAGCGAGTGTTTTCGTGAGAAAGTGCATCAGAATATTGTGCCCCTCTGCATTCATAAGACATAAGTGGCTGAAAGAAAAGGAAAGATTATTGAGCCAAAATAGGAGATAGTAAATAGTTCCAACGCACATATCCATTACTCAATGCTTTTATGGAAACGCATTAACTTGACACAGTCAACGTGATTCGAAACCGACCTCTATCTCGTGCACAAACAGATGCCGAAATTAAAAGTATTTTTGCATAATCAAGTTGTTGTTAGGAGAAGCCAGCCATATATGCATAGTAAAACGTCCCAAACTCATCGATGTCCTCTAGCCAGAGGTCGATGCGGTTCCGGAGCGTTGCGGACTCATCTATGGTTAAGGGTGACGGCGGAGGCCACAGCTCAACCATGCGAAGATATGACCCATTGTCCCAATAGCGCTCATATGCAGTATACGCAATTTTCCAGTCACTCCGGACCGTCTCCTGCCAGAGAGACTTTGGGCCTGGAGCGGGCAGGTTCTGCAGCTCTACCATAACGTACGTTGGGTGTCCGTCTTGCATGGCCAGCAGAGCGTCGAACAAATACATGACTAGTATCGTCCGACGCCTCGCTTCTCCAGCCACCCACTCTTCCCAAATATGACGACAATTCGGCGCCCTCGTTGGGATCACGAGGCCTTGCATTGTGACATGGCGTGCGAGCGCTTGGAGGACTACCATCGCGTTGGCTAGATAGTCCTCGTGTTCTTGTTTCACGTAAAAGTATAGCGTGAGCGTGTAAGTCAGGTAGGCCTGAAAGGCAGCCAAGAACTTCATCTCGTCCCTGTAACTGAGGTACTCGTTTTGAATTATAGACATCTTCTCCCTGATGAGGTCTGTCGTGCTTTGCTCTGGACCAAGGACCGGGTTATCGAGGACCCGAACTATTGATAGACAAGTCGACAACGGCTCACACCAACCATCATCGGCAGTCTGTGATGGATGGGCGGTCTGTAACGGATGTACGAATGGCAGGATTCCACGGCCCCGAATGGCGGTACCAGCATATGATTTAAGCATCTGATAGAGTAGAAAGTTCATAGTAGGGGGGTGAGGTTGCCTCACATGGTAGGGCATTGGGATCATCCTGTTGAGCCAGCGATTTTGGATTTGTTCGACTGGTATTGGGCAAACAAGTCGGATATTGGTGAAGTCCATGACCTTTTCCTTCTCTACCGGGTCAGGGATAAATATGAGACTGGCTTTGGCGTCCTCGACATCCATAACTGGTAAGCTGCTACCGTCAGTGGTCAGGACCTGGACCGAAGTGTTGGGCCCCTTGAAACCCTCGAGTAAGGACACGAGAGCTGTATCAGAGCCGAGATTCTTTTGGTGATCAGCAACATCTTGTGCATTATCGTCTGCATCTTCTCCCATTGGTATATCTCCCGGAACCGTCTCCATATAAGAACAAACATTCTTCCGCGCGGCACATCTTTCGCAAGGTTGGGCCTTGCATCTAGTTTTTGTGGCTGCACAGTGGTCACATGCTTTTTGTCGAGTCACCGAAAATCGCGGGTTCTTCCCTGCAGACATCGCTGACGGGGGTGATGGCCAATTAGGCCGTCTTGCCGAAGGTGTCTGATGCTCGAAGGAGGGGGTTGTGGGATTTCCTCAAGCGTAGCAGCTCGAGGCTGGTGGTAGGGTCAAGCGAAACACTTGCGCGCGTGATACAGACTCAAAATGACGGGCAACACGGTTTGTCGGCAGCGGAACGGTGCGACGGCAAGAGAGAGATGGTAAACTATTGCCGCTGAACGTTGTTGTCCCAATGTTAGCAGCACTGGAATGGAGAAGCAGGAGAATTCCAAGGCCATTCCCCTCACCGTTTGATTTGTTTACGTCACGTCACAGATACGTCCCTCCCGGCAGCATCGAAATGTGCAGAATGCCGGAAGATAGTTTCAGCGATCGGCAGACTCCGACAGTGTTGAGGTGTTCTTGCTGTTGAGAAAGTTGGAGGTTAGTCTGTATTCCAGTTGGGCAGCGGGCGCAGCTTTATAGGGAGACATCTAGTTAGCCAAGGTAGATACGTAATCGGGGTTGCACTTCTTATTTCCTTGCTCTGCGTTCTGGACGCTGGCTGCAAGGTTTTGGCATTATTTTCTTTTTCTCCTGTGCCTGGACAGAAGAGGACGCAGCTGAAATGCAGCCGAGCTGCAGAGGGCGGCACTTGCTTACTCTTGGCGGTCTCAGGAAGCTTGCACATTCTCCTGATTGGAGCAGCCGGTCGTCGTAGTTTTTTATGCAAGATACATGTCTGATTGTAATCAAACACAGATGGGTCTATTCGAGGGAGGTGTCCATAAAGTAAAACAGCTGCATAGGGTGTTGCATGAGGGCCCTACCGCTGGTGCAAGGGTGACCTTTCGTATATGCCCGGCAAGATGCTATGACGCAGATCGACGGGACATGTCACGCGCTACAAAAGTACCTCTGCCGCTATTCTCTGTCGGTAGCCTCGGTGTGCATGGGGTTTTGCTGTTGTACGTGTACTCTCTAGAGATATCGAGGCCAGGCGGTGACCCAATAAGACTACATGTCATTTGGATGACGTTTCTGTAATTAATCGCCGTATTGACGTATATCCCGATTGAGGCTTTCTTGAAGCACATGAACCTGGAAGCCTAATGATATCAAGTTAACTGATCTGTTTTTGCTGGTGAGTAACGTTTCCTTGTGGTCAAATGGCTTATCTATCATCTTGCCGTCCCAAATTATCGGCAAGAAAACGATTTAATCATGAATATCAAGTTCAATAAAAGCCAGAACAAATATCTTGGAATTTCGGTTACAAGGATTACCGCAACTCGGCTTTCAAACGCAATTGACAGCCGAGAATGAATAAAAAAGCCATCGTTCTCGGTGCAGTCTACTCTGGAATCGGAATCGCCCACAAAATTCTGAAATACACCAAATCGAAAGCTGGAGGCCTCAGAGTCATCTTGGTGCCGGTATTTGGTATCTCGGCGTTGAAAGGAAAGACACATCTCTAAGAACGGCTGAGATTGTTGGCGGGCAAGAACATCAACAGGTCGCCCACATGAACTACATGTATGTGTGATGTTTTAGAGTTTTGAATAAGAGTAACGCGGAGAGGGCTGTCGTTGAGCAGTCCTTGCACAATCCATAGACCAGGTGGCATGCGCGGCGCCTTATTCCTTTCGTCAGCTCCCTGGCCTAATGGGCTCAGGCCAGGTTCCAAATTATAACCTCAGAAGAGGCTTGACTTGTTAACTACCTAATTAATGATACCAATCGTTTCACGTACACTATCCTGTAATCTAGCCGAAGAATATCCTACCCCTTTCTTAAATACTGTGTCGATATCATAGATTGCCTTGAAGTCCTCCACCGGATTGCCATTCAACAAGATCAAGTCAGCGCGTTGACCCTCAGCGACGGTCCCTCGATCAAACAAGTCCAAAGCTCGCGCTCCATTCAGTGTGGCAATCTTAATGACCTCAAGCGGCGGGATGCCAGCCATGAACAATAACTCAAGGCTCTCCAAATTAGTCGAGCCGGGCACTGCTCCAGCCAGCGAGACGGCATCCGAGCCCATGACCAGGTTGCCCCCGGCCTTCCAGAACTTGTAATCCAACTCCATCAGTTTTTGGAGGAAGATGGTCACGTCACCAGCCTTGCTATGGATCTTTTTGATCTCGTGCTCCCATTGTGCCAGCCTTTGTGGCGTATAAAATGACTTGGCCTCGTCGTTGACAGGCGGTAATATGGAGTTTGGCAGCAGTCGAGCCAGGCCGCCTAATGTTGAGTCAACAACCGCGCCTTTTTCAATCACTCGCTGGAAGATGTAATTGACTTCGGTAGAGTCAACATCAAGATCCATCATCAATGGCCCAAACAGTATGTCAAAGCGGCATTGGCGACGATCCTGATTAAAATCCATACCTGCGGTCATGACGAATTGCTCCCCTAGTTTCGCATCTCGGTCCATGGTGGAGTTGCTCTGAAATCCTACTTCTTCTCCCTCGTGCAATCGTAGAATGTCAGCAGCAATGGACTGAAAACCATGCTCGACTTCGTCGATGCCAGCATCCAAGGCCTCGAGAATCGATACCGAGCAAAGGTGAGCGCTGATATTCTTACCATGAGCATGGGCTTCCTCCGCCGCTGCTCTCATTTCAGAACGCGATATGTCGACATACGTCTTGAAATTGTGAAATCCACGCTCAGCCCAATATCCGACCTCGCGTTTCGCAGCTTCAGCAGAGTTGATTTCGGGCATGAGTTGATAGTACCCAGGGTCGCCTTGTATAAAAGGTGCCGTGAGAAAAAGATCCGGTCCGATTAGAATGTCTTTGCTGATTCCTTCTTTAAGTTTGAGGTCGTCGAATGGGTGGTAAGTCCCAATAGACCGTGCCGTGGTCACGCCGACGGAGAGGTACAGGCGTGGGACGGTTACCATTGAGGGAGTAGCCAGATAGGGCATTCCGGGCACTTGTGATAAGGAATGATAGTAGAGATGTTCGTGATGCATAACATAGCCTGGGAGGACTGTCTTGCCAGCGCCAGAGATAACCTTTGCGTCCTTTGGGATCGGGATCGATCCTGTGGCTCCCAATGCATTAATCTTCCCGTCTTCAATCACGATTGTCTGAGCTTCTTCTGGCGCGTTTCCCATGCCATCAACAACGCGGACATTCTCTAGGACAAGAATGGGCGCTTGATGAGATATGAACTGATTGTTGTAATCAGCAGACTTTCGATCAAAGGCGAATGGACCGCCATCCTCGTAGTGGGCATAAGCATAATGTACGCTCGCCAAAAGGAAGTGCAGTACAAAAATGGCGAAAGACAGCATCATGTGAGTAGACACCCTTATGGAAGTCCTCAAACCCGTTGTCTAGAGCTGAAGACGCCAAGGTTAGGTTGTTGCCTCTTTATCATTGACGATTTGCCTCCCAGTTCGGGTACGGGATTGTAATCACGTCCCGGACACATACTCGGTGTCTTCATAACGTCCGAGTTATCCGGCGACTCTATAGACAACGGAATCCGCGGCAACCGCTATCTGGCTGTCTCTGTGGTTGTAGTACATGAATATTTCTAACACATGAGAGTTAGTTCTGTCGATCATATTCCCTCACAGAAGATGACATAGTGACAAACCGCTACCCCGCCATCCAAAACCGCAGCTAGGAGTGGAATGGCATGGTTATCCTTGAAATTAAGAGCCATACTGGAGACTCTAGCATGAATCCACAAAGAGTGTCGATATAAGTGCTAATCGTCGGATTATCATTGGTATTATGTAATTCCTCCCTCTACGACCTTGAATTTCCCCTCAGATATACTAACCTTAAAAAATCTCAAAGGCGAAGTTTCGCATGATAGGAAGTAGAGTATTAGCATCAGGTCCTATTAAGCTCCTTAACCGTGATACCAGAAAGCATGTCCTGGGCCGAGATTAGGCTGGCGACAGCAAACTGCTATGTCTTTACCTGCTAAGTATTGGGGTTCCCTTGTGGTCAACCAAGTTTTCGATCATCTTGCCGTCACATCCTTCGTTTCGATTTTTCACTGACTTCTTTTCGATATGTTGTAGCGACAAGATCCAATGTCATCGCGTTGATTTATTTCGATGGCCCCGGTACTGTGGATTTGTTGAAAACATTTTGGTGTGAGAGAAAACGTAAATACACTATAGAAGGTACCTAAGAAGCAGTGAGATTGCTACTATTGGAGGCGACATTGGCTTGAGGGAACTAAGAAGTCATGTGCAAACCGACTGGGAGAACTATACTGATCTTGATGAAAACCCGTCAACAATTATAGAATCATATCCATTGTCGCTATTCCATCCAACTACTGAAGAGAGCTCTTGCACACGACCCATCATTTCGAGATGTGGAGGTTCTGTGGGCAAGGAAGGGACCCTGCTCTATACCCTCCAGATCGTGAGCTCACTCCTTGAGCTCCACATCCATCCGAACTCACCACATCCAACAAGAATACGGCTGGTAATCTGTGTGAGCGAAAGAAAGAAATGGATACTGGTTAACCTAAACAGCTGTTGATGAACGTTTTAGCGCTGTCTGCGACATATGTGGCTATCAATATAGGCGAAACAAGGCTTGGTGGCTTGTGTGGAAGAGATCTCATTGTATTTTCCCTGGTATTAAGAGCGAAACATACTTCAGTTGACTTCTACTAGACTTTCTCACATATACGAACTTGTCCCGCTATGGCTGTGGACTAACAGAATGAGCCATTACTATAGATAACCTTCTTCGTCATAATTTCCCAATGCCGAAGACGAAATTGTTATGAGCCCCAACGGCGTCTTTTACCGTTGCCCAAATCCAATGTTGGGAAATACATTCATGATTCATGTCATTGCCCTTTCTATTGGTAAGATGGCGGTCTCACCGCGCCGCTCAATCGCCTCTGCCGCTGCTACACGCAAAATAATAACGTTGATAATCAGCCTGCAACGTTTCTACTTGCGGAAAAGGTCTCGGAGATAGTCTAGGACACGATACTCAAAATGGAAATGTGCAATGGATTACCAAACCTTGGCAATCACTGACTAAGGGTGACGATAACCGAGTCAGACAAACCCTCGCGCTGACAGACCAAGAACGGTGGACCCCATACTTCAATTTGGATAGCTTTGCAGGAAAATGGTAGGATTTATCGCATGGGGAGTCAGGGGGGTCGAGATAAACTGGTGGTGTCAATTACATAGGGAATCGATACGCCAGACAAGGCAAAACCTCATCACCCATCGTCAAGATGCGATACAAGGTATGTAATACTTATACACCTTATGGAAACATGAAGTCTTGATGATTTTATGTTTATGACCTTTTGAAGTCCCTTGCGAAGGTAGCTTCCTTTAACCGTATTGCTTGACCTGTTTCTCAAAGTATGCTCAGGAGGTCGCTTATGACCGCTTGGCCTGATATGGTCGATGCAGGAAGTCAAATGGTATAACAGGGCCGAAAGACCGCATAAGTGGCTGCCCAATAGAAGCGAGAATAACGAGTCTCGAGACCACTTCAGTCTTCCAGGGGTGGATTGGTGGTTACAAGCCCATATCAATAAGCAGTTGACCGAGTGCCGACCACACTAGGCAACTAGGCATGCGCAATTTAATATACCAATCTGGTCACTGAGTCTTCATACCCATGCTTGATCCATTGAGGTATTGTTTATGCTCCTTCATAGCAGGGTCTGGAAAGGGAAAGATGATAGTTTGGGCTCTAATCATCTTAATATTCCCCGTACTTCCCACATCGCCACCGCGGCAGATCGACTTTGCCACCTCCGGGCAACAATCCATCGCCCACGGCCGAATTAACCTCTTCGATCGGAGCTACGGCCTTTGCGGAGCCTCCAGAAATCCCCGAAATCATACCCTGAACTAGTAGAGATCCTCAGTGGCAGAATCCAGTCAGTCCTATCGTTCGGTTCATGGACCCGAGAGCATTCCCACGACATTATTCAACTACCGTCCCCTTCCATTTGCTTGCCATGTATCACCCTGGCCAATTCGATGAGGCTTCGGTGGCCGGCCACGAGCAGCCGACGCCATCGAATGCCCTCTCCGCATCATCCGACGGATATGATGAGTCCTCACCAGTTAGTAATGCTACAGATTCTTCTTGACTGTTCTACTCTTCGCCATATACCCAATCATCTTGGCTCGTGTGCGTAGCATGTCCAATACAAGACTCAGAACCTAGCAACTACAAAGAAACACGGCTAATGTATAGGGTTTGGTTTATTCAGGATTCATACGAGATTCTATCCCCAACAGGAGGGCACCTAGCCTATCAATACACTCGCGACTTTCAATTCCAACCCCGCTCTAGCTTTCCAGGCATGGTAGGGCCGCCTGAATTACCTCTAGCTTTGCCGAATATGACTACTCCAAACAAGAAGCACTTGTCAGTCTCGAAGGGCTGCGACGACGAACAAAAGAACGAAAGACGAGCCAAGGTATCGTTTGGCGAGGATACCAGAGCGAATAGAGCCTTATACGAAACGGATAAAAGTAATGATAACGGAGCAACGGATGCTCAATTGAAGAGGAAAATTCGAAACCGTGACGCGTACGCCTGCTCCTCCTACTACCGCGAAATCGTTGAGCAGTCATCATGCTGATATTGATCCAGTCAACGTGCGCACCGAGAACGAAAAGAACGGCGCTTGAAAAGCCTAGAGGAAGCTCTCAAGCGACTCGAACAGTCACAAGTACATACCGAAAGGGAGAATGAACGCCTTAAGAACGATCTTCAGGTAAAGACAGTTGAGAATAAAGTCCTCAAGGCCACTACTTCCTCGAGTGGTGACGTCGGGGCCGAGCATTTTGTGATTGGCTCTCCACCACGGCTCAGTTCGGCCATTTTCATCCCCAACGTGCTTGGAGGTCATGGAGAACAAATCGGGGGCCTTCAATCAATACCATCCGAGAGTCAAAGACGGCTTTCTCCCAGCGCTGCTTGGGACTACGTGGTCCAACATGAGCTGTACAAGCGTGGGGCTATCGATATGTCAAGTCTTGGGACACATGTGAGAAAATATGCTAGATGTAATGGGAATGGACCTATTTTCTACGTGAGCGATATCAACAAAGCAATCCAGGAGAGCTTGGTGGAAAGATCGAATTCTCTCATGGAGGAAAACGACAGTTAATCTCTCCTTTCTAATCAAGTGGTTGTGTGCCGCTTACATGGCACATCACTGTCAAATATTTATCAGAAATTCATTGAGCAGGCAACCATTTATTTACTTCACATTTCTTCACAGTATTTGTTGTTTTGAGCGGAAATTATTGTGTAGTTAATGCTGTGTTTGATGTGTCATGACCAAAATTATTGTCCTGGATGAAAGATACACTTTGTGTTTGATTTATTGCTTCTATCCTATCTATAATTCTAAGTTTAGTGTTTATTTATGCCTTCCATCTGAGAAGTGTGAAGCTCAGACGCTCAAAGCGGTATGATGTATCAGTTACATTCCACACAGACTCTCGAATGCTGACTTTTTCTTCGTGTTCCGAGTTGGCATCGGCAGATTTGAAAGCCTCCCCACCAACAGTGAATACCTGGACTTCGCTTCCAGGGGCGATACCATTGAGCTTAGTAGTGTAGCTCTTCTCTTCATCCGAGTTCACAATGGCCACATTCATCCAACCGTCGCTGTCAATGGTGGCGCTAACATCAAGCTTGGGGACCGGAACAGTCGTTTCAACCCACCGGGGGAACGTCTCCCCTTGATACGTGCCCGTACGAGTATGCACAGAAACTGCCTTTCCGTGCATGTACTTTGAGAAGAGCAACAGGGGGAAATATGTAGCCTGCTTCCAGACACCGCGAGGAGTTGTCATGAGGGGAGCAATAACGTTGACGCTTTGAGCAATGGTGGCCATGCCGATGTCCTTGCAGTTGCGTACAAAGATATTCAGCCAGATGGCGACTGCCAACCCATCGCTGAGCGTGTACTGTTCCTCACCACCCTTGTTGCCGGGAGCTCGTTCTGGATCCCACACGTTCCACTCGTCGAAGCATATTGTGGGACGCTTTGCGCTGTTTGGCTTGGTGATGATTCGCTCGATATCTGGGAAGGGCGAAAGGTCGAATTCGCACCGAGCAAGGTCGATGAGAGATGAGCAGACTTGGATGGCTCGTTCAGCAGCGTAGACGGAAGAGATGTTTTTGTAGTGGCCACTGCCCATGGAGTAGTAGTGAATCGAGTGCATGTCTACCCAGCGGAGGCATTGCTGAAGAGTGTAGCGATCCCAGTCCGAGTAGCCATCTTTCCCGCACAAGATCAAAGTAATAGAAGGGTCGAGAAGTTTTAATGCTGTGACGGCGTCAATACCTGCTGAGGGGAGATCCGCGAGCCGGAGAGTAACCTACCTCGAGCCCATTGGATTGCCTTTTTGGCATAGTCCTCCTTTGTATGTTGTTCTACCTGCCTTCAAAACTATGTTAGCTTATGTGGTCCAGTTTAGAAAATGTTGAGTACTTACCAAGGCCCCCACATCTCGTTTCCAAGAGCCCAGTACTTCACATTGTATGGCTTCTCGTGGCCATTCTGTCGTCTGAGATTTGCATAGTGTGTGTCCTTGTCACCATTGCAATACTCCACCCAGGCAAGAGCATCCTCTAGTGTCCCTGTTCCCATGTTTAGACATAGATAAGGCTCAGTGCCAACTACTTTGCACCATTCCATGAACTCGTCTGTGCCGAATGTATTGGGCTCCACTCCCTCCCAAGCCAACTCTGGTCGCTTCGGGCGTTTCTCTTTGGGTCCAATGCCATCTTGCCATCGGTACGAGGCGCAAAAGTTACCGCCTGGGTATCGAACGACCGGGACTCGAAGTTCTTTGAAGTATGAGATGACATCCCGGCGGAATCCGTTCTCGTCGGAAAGTTCTTTGTTGTTTGGCTCGTAAAGACCACCGTAAATACAACGGCCCATATGCCTACTTAACATTAGCCCACTGCCACAAGTTGGCCGGTGTTCTTTGGTAACCTACTCGGTGAAACCTCCATAGATGAGAGGATTGACGTCGGCGATGGTATTGGCAGGGTCGAAGGATATCGAGGTCGACTCGTCCTCGGCGGAAAGAAGAGTTAGGGTAGTCATTTCGGCGCCGTTGTGATTCTATTTGCTAGACTTGGCCCAGGATGTCCTAAGAAGAGGTAATGTGGCGTGGTGTTGAAGGGGGAAGAAAAAGAGTAGAAATAGCATTTGCTTCATGATAACTGATGATGAGAATCCCAAACGAGTTCTTAACTTAAAGGGAAGATCAAGATTTAGATGGAGAAGAAGGGTACTCGACTAAATGTTTGGGTATATGGAAATTGTTATCTTGACAGGAGTTAATAGGAGGCTTAGATGTGGGCCGGGGAATATCGGTGTAAATACCGATCGGGGAGTATCGCAAAAACTCCCGCCCCTCTCAACTTGGAGCCGTCGTAACCATATTCAAACTGGGAATGTCGTGTGTACGTTAGTTCGCTTCCCCAATTTGCATAAACTTACCCCAAATGCGCTGCTTAAGCCCATGGGGTTGGGTCTGGAGTCGGTCTCGTGGGAAAAAGAAAAATCTACTAGCGATTCTCACCCCAGAAACTGAGATCATCATCATACGAATCGGGAATCACTGAGCCGAACGTTGTCTGAACTCGCCTGACATGAATCGCCAGAGTATTACACACTTTTCAAGTTTAATAGTTATACTAAGATGTTGCCTCTATACCTAATTGCGAGGTGAGGTTTCTTAAGCACTCCAATAGTACAGTGAGATCGGGGCTCTCGGGCTCCCAGTACTCAATAGCACCAATTACCTTGATAACTGAATGCTCCCATTCGGGCGGTAGTATTTGCGACAAGGAAGACTCTGATCTCGCCCGAAAAGCTACGGCTAGCAGCTGGAGCGCGCTCCGAGAGCATGTTCGTAACATCAACCATGTCCCTTGATGCCGCACCCAATACCCTTCCTCGGAGATGGTGATGCGATAGTTGGCGTTGTCTAGGGCCTTTTTTGCAATTCCAATAACGGAGGAGGTAAGCTCCTGGATGGGCTGGCAGCATACAGCTTGGACTGCCGGAAAGTAAAGTACGTCGAGGATATCAACCAGGTGGGAGCGCAGTATTGCTTTGAGGGTATCCCCTATCTTGTCGCTACCCTCACGAGGGAACGCCATCGAAGGCGGTAACATGTTCTGCCAAGTTTCCAGTTTGACTTCATACTTCTCTACATATTGTTGGAATTCTCTCTCGCCTGTAGTCGCCCACCATCCGGGGCTAGAATACCAGGAGCCTGTCCAGTAACGGGAAGACAAAGCTTCGTTCATGATGCGACGAAGGGCAATTTCTGCGAGATAGAAGAACCATCCAGTTTCTAGGTTCTCTCTTTCGCGGAAAGCTTCTGAATCAGGCCGCATTTTCCCACTACTGAGTTGTCGTGGGCTTGGCGGAGATGGGTATAAATGGGTATATTTCATCTCATTGAGGCTGGAGCCGGGAAGTCCTAGCTCAGTTCTTAGCTCTCTAGAACATTACTCGTGGTTAGCATTCAAGTGGCCCAACCAGATTGCATGTAGACATACAGCTCGCTCTTCAGACAACTCCAGTAAAGGCTGTCTTCCATATGTTGCTCAATATCACCGGATGTTGTCTTGTGTAGAATGATTTCACTGGTGTGACCATCCATTGAGTCTTGAATATGGCCTCTGGCAGCAAGCCACCCTACGCATTGGGTTCCAGCCTGAGAGAAGGCTTTCCATGCTGCCATAATCCGAAGCGTAGACATTAGATACACAGCCGTCAAGAAGCTACATTGTGCTGATATGAGAGAGTTAGCATGGTGCAGCATCCCAATTCGACGCTGCGCCATTTGGAAGTATGCCTCAGCTCTCTCCAGGCGCTCCTTGTTTCTTGACGGGCCGGGGCAGCTCTCAGAATTTATTGGAGCTGATATAACGCTGACGGCGCATATCAGGAGCTAAAATGAAAGTTAGCTGAAAGATGAGCTCAAGCCAAGTTCTGGTGTTTTAGTATACCACAAGACACGATGGCCCGTCCCATCGAAGACCGGTCTCGGCTATGGCCCTGACATAGCTCCACAGAAGGTCGATGTCAAATATCGGGTTCTTCACGTGGTTTATCGATAGAAAGTTTCCAACTAGCCCAGTAATCACATCAGAGTCAAGGTCGAACATGCCGTTCCCTGCTTGACTTGGAGCTTCAGCGTCTTTGCTGCCCAGACTAGCTGTGAGTGATGGGTAGTTTTGGATACCGAATACCGGCCATCGAAGGAGGCTTTCGACCTTCATCTCCGAGCTCCAGGTTATGACATCTGCGGAGGGTGGGCGGTTGCTGTCTGGTTCCACTGCCCTGGGAACCCTTGACATGGGTTCATTACCGTGTGGCTGGGATTCGTTTGCCAGGTTCGGGTCTGGGCGAACAGACTGAGGCGAGGATGTTGCCACTGTTGGTTGGTCCCCACTAATCAATGCCGCAAGGTTTTGCTCGACTTCACCCAGTCGTTGCAGGATGGCCAGACTGGCTTTGTCCAATCTGGAATGATCCGATACCAGATCCCCGGGATAGACACAGGACCCCCCGGTAGCAACACAGAAACCGCAGATCGGGCGTCTGTTGTCGCATTTTGTCTTTCGTGCCCGACACACTGAGCAAGCACCGCCGGCTCGGCGCCGGTTATACGAAGTTTCCTGGCGCGACATTGGACGACTGCTCCCGGAGTGGCGAGTTGAACGGGGCCGGGAAGGAAACAACCCAACAGAGAGGCCGTATACCTCCTGCGGTATTTCCGAGTCAATGGGCCAGCTAAATAGGTGGAGATCTGATAATGCCTGCTGTGAATGCTGGATGAGTATGTTCAGGTGACCGGTCTTGTAGGTGATGCAAGTATCTGATCTCTCGTGGCACCATTGGAAACGACGGAATAGTTTAGCATCGGCCTGACCACCGATACTCCCCGATGGAAATTCTCCCAGTGATTGGGCCGCTTAGTCCAACAGGTCCAATTTTTGAGTCTGCTGAGCCTATCCCAAAACCTTCTAGAGCGCGGTGGAGTAAAGCTGGGGAAACCCCAGACCGAAGAGTTCCCAGACAACCATTGCTTCCTGCATGAGCATCCGATCGAACCCTTGGCCGAGAATACACACCCTCGAGAGAGTCAATGTCGTGTTCTGACTCTCTATAAATACAACGCGTGTCTTCTTGACTCTCCATCCGCCGTTGTGTCTTGTCAAAGCATCCTCTTTCACAGCTTCATCAAACTTTCTCCCCTGAAGTTTCCCAAATCTGCCCAACATGGTCTCAAAAGCCAAGAGTCATGACACAGAACGCGTCGAGCACATACATGATGCGGACAATGAGATCGGCCAACTTGCTAACCAGCAAGAACATGAGCTCAGTCCACTGCAAGCAATCCTCAAACGCCCAAAATCCTTCGCGTGGGGATTGTTCGCCATTTCTACCTGTTTACTTGTTTCGTTCGAGAACCAAGCGGCAGGAATGGTGCTGAGTGTTCCTGAGTTCCGAAAAGACTTTGGACATCAGTTCGCGGGCGATTATGTCCTTGATGCCGACTGGCAGTCAGCTTTCTACGGCGGCCCTGTTGCGAGTTCTGTCATTGGCACTTTCTGTGCGGGCTACCTAGCGGATCGTTTCGGCCGGAAACCACTTCTGATTACCGCTCTGCTTGTCTCCTTTGCTGCTATCACCCTCGAGTTTCTAGCTACCTACAGCGCGATGTTCTTTGGTGGTAAATTTCTCAACGGCTTCGCAATTGGAACAATTCTTTCAGTCTCTGTAACATACATCGGCGAGGTAGGCAGGCTGACCCAACGCCATAAAAGTCTTACACTAGCTAACTATCTCTTAACAGGTTACTCCCCTTGCGCTTCGTGGTATCCTTACATGCCTGACGGCCCTCATGATGACCCTCGGCCCACTCACATCTGCCATCATTATTGATAACACGGGCGATTTCAATACTCGATGGGCATATCGTGCCGTATTCTGTGCTCAATACGGATTTGCCGGTATCTCAGCACTATTTGTGGGATTTATGCCGGAGTCCCCAGTATGGCTCTTGAGCGTAGGGCAAGAAGACAAGGCTGCCAAGTCACTGACGCGACTGGGTTACGATGGGCTCGATCTCGATATACACTTGGCTCAAATGAAGAAGATGCTCCGGGAGGCCAAGGAAGAAGTTGCGAATGCCACATATATCGACTGCTTCCGCCGCTCCAACCTGCGCCGCACAATCATCTCCATCATGCCTCTTTCGATCCAGGCTCTCAGTGGTGTCTTTTTCATAGCCTCGTACGGCACATACTACATCCAGCTTGCCGGATACAGCACGGCAACGAGCTTCAAACTTCAAATTGCCCAGCACGGTCTCGCAATGGCAGGTAACATCTGCTCTTGGTTCCTCATCGACCGGATCGGCCGCCGACCTCTTATGCTGTGGGGAACGGTTTCCGTGACACTCATCCTCCTTGTTGCTGCAGGCTTGGCCACCGCGGGAACCCCAGCTGCCATCAAAGGCTCCGTCGGTCTGATTGTTGCATACAACTTCGTCTACAATATCTCCATTGGAGCCTCGGCTTACACGCTTCTTTGTGAGGTGGCAACGTCACAGTTGCGAATCAAGACAATCTCGATTGGCGTTGCGCTGCAGAACGTTATTTATTGTATCTGGGCTTTCGTCATTCCGTATGTCTTCAATCCGGACCAGGCCAACCTCCAAGGCAAAACGGGATTTATCTTTGGAGCCCTCGGTGTCATCTGTGTGGTGTATCTTTGGTTCTACCAGCCCGAGACGGCCAACCGTAGCTATGAGGAGCTGGATGAACTCTTCAGGAAGGGGATTAGTGTGCGCGACTTTGGCAAGTACCAAACTGAGGCAGAGGGGCGCGGTGAGAAGCAGACTTGAAGACTTTGGTAGTGATATATAGATTGCTACAAACGCTACACAATTATATGAAATATTGATAATTATTATTCCACAGTATTTAGCTTGATATTCTAAATATTGTTGATTAATTGTTGATATTGTGTTGAAATGCGACGCTGGAAGTTATGGGTGTGCCATGTTTTATGTCACTCGCTTAGCTTACTAACACGAATAATCACGTCGCGTATAAAATTTCTCGACGATCAAGTTCTCTTTCTTCTAGCGTCTTAGACAGCGACAACTCTAGCACGAGTGAAAAACAACGCGTTCGACATGGAGAGACAACGTTGAATAGCAAGACATGAGAATTGCTACATATTACGAGATAATGAAATGTAGACCAGACTAATGGACCACGACATCCATTTAGGGAAATCCCAGAATGCAGCGGTGAGTATGTGGACTGTTACATGATCTTCCTTGAACAAAAATTGAAACGAACCACCGTGAAGTATGGCACGTTTCAGAGTGATGTGAAGGGTTCCATAGCTCCGATGTTTACTAGCATCTTGACTTTACAATATACTTACCTTCGCGTGCCGCATGACATGGTCTCGATCGTTTAATTTGACCAAGACAAGGCTCATGAAATCCAACAAGCATGAAAAGCACATCGAAGCAAGACGCCGTGCGTGCGTGGGAGAATACGAATGATAAATTCGTATTCTCCCACGCACGCTCGGCGTCTTGCTTCGATGTGATCTTGCACATGCTGCCCGAGAATTCGTGGACTCTCTCGGTCATCCCATCATCGCATGGACGGTGGGAAAATATTTTGAGGAGGAAGAGTTTCTGACGGCAGAGAAAGTTTTCTAGAGCTATTTATTGCTAGCTAACAGGAACAATATTTTTACCGAAGGGTTGCTCAGACAACGTTTGTGTGGAGCCCAATCTCTACCCCTGAATCGTGTTTTCAGGCTACCCGGTCTTTTGAAACTACTTCCAAGATCATGATAATCAACTTTTCCATCAGTAGTACCCGTTCGTGGACCTGCTAATTCAAGTGGTGGGCTTGGGAATGAATCTTCTAAGTTGTGGGCGTACGCCGGCTCACATTTTGTACAAACGATCATGGGTGACCACCAACTTTCCTTTGAATAAACAGCTCAGACGTGTAAACATACGTGTTCAATCTGCGAAACTGACTCTTGCTTTCTTCTTCGCATCGAAGCTATGATGATGGAACCTGCTTGACACAACCCATGCCTGGCCATAAACTCCCGGAAGCCGCATCGGCCGTTCGTCCCCATTGCAGAGTAAATTTTTGGCTACTAAGCGGCCTCGATCTCCATTCCAAACCGCCTGCGCCACTTCTCGATTGAGAAGTATCAGCAAACTCCTCAATGTACTCCCATTGCCCAGTTTCCTCGTCCATGCGCATGAATCGAAAGATCAACTTGCTCCCCGCCTCCTCAAAGAGGTACACTCGCCGACAAAGCCGCCGCCACTGCACAAATGAGGACTCTTCCGTGATGTTTTCAGCCTCGATCTCCTGACTCTTCTTCCCTATCTCGAGAAGCAAGTAACTACTCCAGAGACCATCATGTCTAGGATACGTCTCCAGCACCCGCATCGCGCTCAGACGCACATCAGCATCACGACAGTTTATCGCCACGAATGTCAGATGCCATGTCAGACCAGTGTGCATCGTGAACATGGACGCTGGTCTTCTCGATTTCATGCTTTGTTGGCAGAGTAAGACTTCGCATAACTTGACGATATCACGACATTTGGCTGTAATCGATTCAACATAGTCGTAGTCTCCATACTGTGCAACATTGCTGTGAATAGACAGGGCCAGATATTCAACGTAAAGGCTCACAATGGACCAGTCGGATATCTCGCCTGCATGAGATACACCATGGCGTTGATAAAGAGGCCAATAGGCTCTCCGCCATTGCCCTAGCTGAGAACACGCATTACTCGTATATGACCTGAGCTCACTGGAGTTCTGGAAACGATCAATGGCCTTTTCAACTGCTGAGTGATCTGTGGCATCTTCGTTGAGTAGATTCCTCACCACCCTCACAATGTCAGGGCCCATGGTTTCGATTCGGCGTGTCATAGCAACCCAATATTCCAAGGCCTGTTCCGAGTTGGAGAATGTCTCTGGGTAGAAGCCTAAACCTTGTCGCGGGTTGAAATATCGATCCAGTCGCGAATTAATACTGTGCATTTCCTCCGGACTGGCTTTTAACCTCTCACGCGAAGTTCCCAAGTCCGATTTTCTTGCGTCTATGCGGCCGCCTGCTATGATCTGAGTCTGGACACCCAGTCGCGAGTACAGACTGACAACCTCACTCATCAGCTCTCCAGGCTCGGGCGCAAGCTGGTTAAGAAGTGCCATGGCGTTTGGTCCGCTGCATAGGTCGCGTATCATAGACAAGCCATGGGAGACATGCTTGAGTGCAGACTTCGTGTTACGGCAGAGGCTTTCAAAGGTTGCAAACAGGATAGATAGCAGTACCGCATCCAGTGTGTTAACCGCAGAATGGCTGGATTCAGCTAACGACCGTATGGCTTTACAATAATATTCAATGGCACTCTGGTAGTGGCGATGCTTGTCAGCATCATGACCCGCCGATTGAGCAGATAGAGCATGGCTCATTGCCCCAATACCCAAGGCGGCATGGCGGAGCACGATGCTTTGGCTCGTGAGTTGCGGCATAAAGGTAGACCACAACTTGCTTGAGATAAAACCGCTGAGTGGCGCCTCGGCGAGGTATCTCCATTCGTCAAAGTACATGATTTGGTAGTCGTCTTCGAAGCTGAGCCCTACCGCTGGTTCGGTGACGGGTAGGCATGCCTGCAAGGCTTTGGGCTCAAAGGCGAGGCGGCGTCGATGCCTCCATGACTGATTCTTCCGGGGTTTGATGTAATATCCACCACAAATGCCACGGGTAGTGAGGCACTTCATACATGCCGGTTTCGTTTCATCGCATTTGACATGGCGCTCCCTTGTGCCGGTCAGTCAGGCCTGCCAAAAGGCCAGCGAGCTCACTTACTTGCCTATTTAAGATAAGTTTAAGAAGATGCTTAGGAAAGGAGATGTAGACTCACATGTTACACAGCCAGTCCTAACTTTGGGATTCCCAGCGCGCGAATGCTTTACTGCATGAAGGGCTTCTCCCGGACTAGTTACAGCATTGAACTCCAACGACGTTGGGTGGGTTTTCCAAGACTCCATATCTGCGTTGGTTTTACGACGTCTGCCGTAGTGCCCCGAAAAGAGCGAGCGAGTTCGATTAAAATGGCAGGAAGTTATGCTTACCAAGCGGCAAAGGGCGAGATCATATGAGCAAATGGGTTAGGTTAGTGCGATGCCTGTTGCTTATGCCATGACTCGCTTTTACGACGCTTGCATGAGACCAATCATGTCTTCAGTTCACACTGATCCCGCATCATCAGATATGTAGGCAAGGTTAGCTCACATTAGTGAACTCAAGCCAGCGGACATGGAAACTAAAAACGCGCCACTTCTAAAGAGGGAATGCAAACCAGCAACTCGCCTATGTTCAAGTTCAATGCATCGGGTAGGTTGAATAGTGCCAGCAGATGTCAGGCGATGAGGCAATTATCAGTGTTAAGTTACTTTGCTTGGTGACCCAGGGTGTGTCTAGATATGTATAGCTTTTATGCTTTGCTCTCTACAGTAATATTCGGTGGACCTAATCTTACATCGATTCCTTAATAATATACTGCCCGTGATCTCTTCATGATGTTGACGCGCTGATTTCAGTCTTCTTGACACATTGCCAACGCGTTAGAACCCGATTCAACGGCTCTTCCAGTTTCACATCAAACCCGCCATGCTTCCCGACGGTGCCTGCTCCAGCCCTACAAACCCGTAGACATATAAAGGAAGGCCCGGTCATAAACATCCTTGCATTCGTCCCATGGAATGCGGTCCCACTTCTTCGCCGCCAAGCATCTATCATCTTGGAACGGAGAGCCGCTCTCCACCTGGGACTCCAGCTCGTCCACGCTCTCCTGCAAGCGCATTGTCTGCATCCGCCGCCTCTCATACATGAAGATCTTGAACGCAGCCAACGGGCGCGTGATCCAGGGAAGCAGCGCCAGCAGGTTCAAGAACAGAGGACGGCGTTTGCCCTGTTCATTGACCTTTCGATCGGGTGTCCACTGCCGGAAGTAGGGCAGCTTGTACAGCCCCATGAGGAGGAAATATCCAATCATTCCTCTGGTGCGGGGGGCAAGAAACTCGTTAGCTGATGCGCGCTGATTTCACAGGTCATGGAGCTCACAGGAAGGGCGGGAGAATCCATTTCATCCACCTCTTGTCGTCAATCTTCTTCTCCAGAGCCAGCAGCATCGACGACAACTGGTGGAGGTCTCTCAGCAGCGCCGTCCGGGTTGTCTCCAGCCGAAAGGCATTATCTGGATTCACTACTACACGGTCAGAATCTGTCTTGGGGTCGCGCAGAGGCGGGTGAGCTGACCTTGTTGATCGATCGCGTGAGACGGGACGAGCGACTGGAGCTGGCGGTACTGCTCCAGGCGGTCGAGGATGGCCCTCCGGAGCTCGCGAGCCTCTATCTCGCGCCTCTTGACTGGGTCGACGTCATCCATTGTCGCATTAGAAGCTCTGCAGCGCCGTCAGCGCTGATTGACCATTCATTGCAGTTGCTGAGAACTGTTCAACGAGTCGGATCGAAAATGACGTGGCATCCCTGCAGGGGTGGCTGGGAAAGCCGTGCGCGTAAATTGTACCTGCATAAATGCAATGCATCCCAATCATCCGAGCTACCCTATACCTATCCGTGTCGGATCAACGAAGGCAAGGGTAACAACAGATGGTAGAGTAGGGTGATAATGTAACACATCAGACGCTGTGCCTAGTTCATTACTGACAGCGTCAGCGCAGGGCTGCACTGTAATATTCCTCTCTTTTCATAGCAGTCTTAGAACCAGCCGAGACAATGTCCGCCCTCAAATGCCGCGGGCAAATTCCCCAATGAAACAAACTACCAGGCGATCGCGGGCCGGCGCTGATCAAGACACATCTTTTCTCGCTTGGCGGCCCAGAGCAACCAGGTAGCTTTGACGTCAGAATTGATGAGACGTCATCAATACGGCAATTGGGAATACTTGAGTCTGTGTCTCGGCCTTTTGCCATCTAGCTTGTCATTGTTCGGGGAGTACCTAGCAGGCAACAAAATCCAAGACTATGAGAGAATAGCGTTCCACAAACAAGACACTTGGGGGACCAGATCATGAACGCTGCTGCATCTTGATAACGGAATACCCGGCAACTCAGAATCGGCAAACTGAGATGTTCAATCAGCGACGACGAGAAAAAAAAGTATATAAGGGAGAGTAAAGTAGGAAGATAATCACTTCCATTCATACTCGTGTCCATTCATCTTTATTCTCTAACTTTACTGTTATATCACCTCCATTACCGCACACTTGGAATATAACGCATACTCACCATGAAGTCGTGCGTAACTTGCATTATTATTGCCGTGGCGGTCATGGCAGGCCCTTCCACGGCCATATTCTTCCCAGAGGCGCAGAATCGCTGCAAGCCTCTAAATCAAGTTGCCGCTTGCTGTCGTTCAGAACTTGGAAATCAATATTACACTCGCGTAGGAAATGAATGGTGCCGGAGTTTCGCGTTCGACTATGGTGACTATTACCCTCCTATGACGGCTATATCCTGTCTAATCCTATCTAGCGCCTGAGTACGCCAGATGCGACCGTCCTTTTAAATGTTGTGATGGATCCCTTAGATCAGTAAGGCTATCTATGTTCTTTCTCGAATGCTCACTACTAACCCATATTCCAGGGTCTTATTGTTGGAAAAGGGAACAGTGACCCTACCTGCCGCGAGATTCCATCTTGAGACCTAGAGCGATAATGGTCAAGTATAGTAAGATGATATTGAACATTAAGTACGTCAGCCTTATTCTAGGTAATACGATTCTCAAGCCAGTCAGGGAAGAGGGTTTTCGAGGAAGCTTTCGGTTGTTGTATGGAGTTCTCTGTTGGAGTCTAAGCTCGGTTAGCCGTTAGAGGGTCTTAGTCAACGCAGAATAAATAAGAATTTGGTGTTCTTTGGAAACAGTATCATGTACACCGAATTTTCGCCACTGAACACCGTCAATATCTTCGCCGATTGAATCGTGAAGCCCAGACAGGAGGGCATATGCTGGTCAACTCATTGCAGGCGCACAAACACACCATCCATCTCGTGCGGAAACATTTTGAGACTGGTGACCCATCATAGTTCTTCTCTTTAGTGTCGAGTAATGCCGCAGACGAAACAGTATTGCCATCATGAGTTGAATTCTTTGACACTATCCGTAGTCCAGCTCTCCGCGGAAAATCGCCGTGGTCGAGTTACTACCCGCAGCAAATATAATAATACGCTTGTAGATCCCCTTCCACGTCTGTTGTACACCCTCCCGCCCTGGCTTTCAAGGGCTATCGCCAAGGAGTATGTGGTGGGCATGCTAAACACCAACTCTCTCCCACCACCTCCTGTTTCTCAAAAAGTCTCTTCTCAAACCCGCAAAATTCACTACACTTTTTCGACGGGCAACGCCTAGAGTCGATTGATGATATATTCAGGCACGCCTCCAACGATCATCTTAAAACGCTGTACGAGTGCTTCGGCGAGCTTAAGAGCCAGGAGGATGAACATACACATCTTTGTAACTCAGTCAAAATCAACCACCCTATTATTCCCCCAACGTTACCCCATACCAAATAGAATTGTTGAAGAACTCCGAAAAGAGCTCTTCTCGTGGAAAGCCATTTGGGACGCATGCACGGGAGGATATTAGGAATCGTGTCCCCAATCACCATACCTAAAGCACTGACTTGGTCGAGTTGGCTGGCGGTTGGGCAAAGCAGTCGATAGGCATATCCGATGAACTCTGGCTGCAGTTGATTACATCCGTGAAAGCTGGTGGTAGTCGAGCATACTAGGTACAGTAACTAGAGGACCCCTGGGGGCAGTTAGGCCTCCGATCTCGGCTCAACCGCAGCACCTAATTGGATCCTTATATCACTGCATCATTCATCGCAGCAAAAACCGCCTGATTAATCCTCTTCATTCTCGTCTCTAAAAATTTCTCATCGCTCATTTCGACGAGCGCATCCACGCAAGTATACTAGAATCGTCAAAGCTTGATTGAGATAATCGACAAGATGGTCGCATCCACAGAACCGCCAACCATCGCGGTCATCGGGTAAGCACACACCGCACCATCATCATTCCAGCCGAAAAGTCAATACACGTACTCACCAGCCTCCAGCGCCGGCGTCATCGGCCTCTCGGCCGCCCTCAAGATCCAAGCCCTTCTCTCCGGCGCCTCCGCCCAGGCCCGAGTCGTGCTCATCGCGCGCGAGTGGCCAACCTCGATCCCGGGAGCGCCCATCTCCCACTCCCCCGACTACGCCTCCATGTGGGCGGGCGCTCACGTTCGCCCGATCCCAGCCGGCGACAGCCCCCAGCTCCAGCGTGAGGCCCGCTGGGTCAAGCAGACGGTCGCTGAGTTTGAGGAGCTGCTGCGGGCGGAGCCGTCGGTCGGCATCACCCGCACGCCGGGGATTGAGTTCCTCGACGCCCCGCCGCCTGACTATGTTAAGCAGACCGAGGCCAGTTTCGTCGAGGAGACTGGGCTGGCGGGGTATCGCAAGTACGCTGCCTCGGAGCTCCCTGAGGGCGTGCAGCTTGGGTATGAGTACGAGACGTACTGCGTTAACTCGCCTCTGTACTGCGGTAACCTGCTGCGCAAGTTTATCGTCCAGGGTGGAAAGACACTCCACAGAGATCTGAAGAGCGAGTGGGAAGCATTCGCCGCGGGCGGATCCAATGTCAAGCTGGTCGTCAATGCGAGCGGAACAGGGTTTGGCGACTGGAGGAGTTTCCCCACGCGGGGACAGACCGTCATCACCAATGTCCTATCGGCGACGAAGACAGTAACGAGGCAGAACAAGGATGGGACCTGGAGTTTCATTATCCCTCGTTTCTTCAATGGCGGGACCATCATCGGTGGAACGAAGGAGCCTGGAAACTGGCAGGTAGAGCCCCGGCCCTCAACGCGGGAGGTTCTTCTTGCTGGAGGGAAGGCGTTGGCCCCGTATGCGACAAGTGATTCGTCGCCGTTGAATGAGAAGGACTTGCGAGTCATTACGGATGTGGTAGGCAGACGGCCGACGCGGGAAGGAGGAGTGAGGATTGAGTTGGAAGAGAAGCAACTGACGGATGCCAATGGCCAACTGAGAACAGGCCATGTTCTTCATTCGTATGGTGCGGGTGGTCGTGGATATGAGATTAGTTGGGGAGTGGCCAACGAGGTGTCAGAGGTTGTGAAGGATTTATTGCCCTTGATCGTGGGAACCAAAGCTAAGTTATAGAGTGACATTCTATTTACCAAATCTATTTTCCAGGTCTTTCCAATCTCAAGGACCACATTTCTTCTATGATCAATACCTTTTTACTCTCAAAGTTTTTTTGCCTTTGAGGCGCCTAATCCGTCTTGACACCGAGTTTGCCAGCCTTCCTGAGTCCAAACCCACTAAGGAAAGCACAGAAAACCATAAACCCAAACATCGTCCAGAAACTAGCCCGATAACCCTGCATGAGAGCATCCACCGGCGTCATCCCTTCATGCCCCTTCGCCACGACCATCGATATGACCTGCATGATCGCCAGACCGCACGCATTACCGAACTGCGCCGCCGTGTTGAACACCGCACCGGCAAGCGCCTGCTTGTCCTCCGGGAAAGTTTCACTCACTACGAGCATGCCGATGACGAATATGACGTCGGCGCAGACGGGCATGAGGAGCTGAGCTACAAAGGCGTTGGCCCAGTAGGACCAGTGGGGTTGGATGACGGCCATGAGGAGCGGGGAGCCGGCGGTGAGGACGCAGCTGACTGTGACGATCCAGATGGCGGGGACGCGGTGGACGAAGATGCCGGTGATGAGGTTTAGGATGATGCCGACGACAAAGCTGGGGATCATTCGGATGGCGGAGGATAGAGCTGACAGGTGCTGGACCTCTTGGAAGCTAGCAGAAGGATGCCCAGTTAGAAATCTAAGAAATGGTGTACTTGAGCATGGAGAAAACTTACAACAGGCTGACAAACAGCTCGAGAGAATTGATCACGGCGTAGGAGAGGGCAATGGTCGCGCAGATACTGGAAAAGGATGCGATGCGCCAGAAAGAATTGGGGATCAGAGCTGGTTTGCCGGTGCTGACTTGACGGTGCATCCAGCCGAGAAAGAGCGGCAGGCAAAGAACTCCGATAATCAAGAAGGCAATGCTGAGAGGCTCTTTGACGCGATTGATATCGGTGCTAATCATACTGAGAGAGCGAAAAATGTTAGCATGAATTCCTCAATTCCTTCATCAGCATCAAGACAAAATGATATAGACGTACGCGAGAAAGTAGCAGAGAAGAGCCATGAACGCAGAAGCAAGCAATGTACCCAGCCAATCCACCTTGGCGTTCATGTTGCGGATGACCTCCTTGACGGTCCCCAACGGCTCGCTCTTGGGCAGGGAGAAGATAGACATGACAAACATGGCGAGAGTGAATCCTCCATAGATGTACCATCCCGCGCGCCACCCGATGGTATCAACCAGTACACCACCGGCAATCAGGCCAAGACAGAACCCGAGAGGCTGGCTGAACCCCAGGCAGGCAAACGCGACATTCCTGCCTCGGCCCCGGGGCAGCAGCTTGGTTACCAATCCAATAGAGCTGGCCAGGTGCATGGAGAGACCGATGCCGTAGAGGGCGCGGAGGATGACGAAGTCCTCGCCGCGCTGGACAAGGCCACAGCTGATCATGAAGAGACCGCACGTGAGCATGCCGGCGAGGGCGATGGCGCGGTGGCCGAGAACATCAGCGAGTGAGCCGGCGATGAGCAGCGTGGAGGCAGTGGTGAGACCGGCGACAGAGGACGGCCAGAAGGCGAGGGAGGAGGGGAGGGAGAGATCAGCCGTCAGCTGGGGCAGCGAGATGACGATGAGCCCGTTTGTGCAGCTGGAGGCCAGGTTGACAGCAGACAGCTGGAAAGTGACGGCCGCCTGCTGCAGACGGGAGTACTGCTTTCGGGGGCCGATAGAACCGTCGGTCTCATCGCTGCTCTCGTGGGAAGAGGTGAGGGGGATCTCCTGCTGCTGCTCTCTGAGGACTGGCTGTTTTGTAGAGGGGGGTGAGATTGAAGACTGCAATGCCACGGGGGCAGCCTGGAGAGTGGTGGTTGTCGACATGGCGAAGAATCGGCTGGACCAACTGAATCTACCAAGAATACATGCCAACCTTTGTTCAACGCGGGTATATAACTGTTTCCGTAGAGCCCGAGTCCGGTGAAGGAAGGCCATGTGGAGACAATCCCTTGACAACAGGGCGCGGTTGGCATCTGGTCTGTGGGGGACGCTTGTCATCCTTCTGATATCGGTAAGACGGTGATTGGCCAGGAAGCGATACCCATGGACAAAGCTTACAACGGCAAGGTTTGCTGGTAGCGATAGGATACGTAAAATGAGAAAGAAATTATGAGCTGGAACTTGAAGACTAGCTGAAGTAACTCGTAATGGGGATGTTAGTTGCTTGCTTCAACTAGGTAGGTGGATGAGGTTCCCCATGGGGTTTCTAGCACTGCCCATCGCTAGTTATTACGGCGGAGTCACTAATTTAAGCGGGTTATCTTCATGGAACAGTAACGAGTAAAGCTTTCTTCCCTGGATTGAAAAAAATAATCAAAAGAATGTAAATTGAGGTCAGATTCTTTACTTGTGTCGGCTGAACGTGTCCACTAGCCAGCCACTTGTGGACAAAAGAACCATCATGCTAAGGTACCTAAAGCAAAACATAAAGAGAATGTGAGACTCTTTCAGCAAGTGGCCATGCCACTTCAACTTGTTTATCGTTTCCACCCACAGAGGCTCTGCGCATCACACGAACCTGCGTTCTATTTGGCAATGTTGGAGCCGTCTCCTTTGACAAGATCCCACCAAAGTATTTAAACGCCGTCCTAAGTTTAGGTGGTCTTGCACTTGTGGTAGTAGCACTGGCAGGTGCTGTTGTTTATTTATGGATTAGTTCAGGGAAATATTCGAAATATGATAACGTGTTACTTACAGGTTGGCAAAGCCTCCGCAACTGCCCTTGTAGGGGTACTGAAGCTTGCCGTTGCAGGTACGGTGAACATTCTAGATAGACAAATGTAAGAGATATCAAGTTGAATGGGTATTTAGCCACATACGTTGATACACTAGAAAAAAAAGGAAGGTTAGCGAATTGTGATCTTCAGTCTTTGGAATAGTTGAAGGACTCACGTGGAGGTTGCATTGGTTACCGAAGGGGCAGCCCTGACCGCGGGTCTCGAGGTCAACTCGGACAGCCTCGGTGATATCGCGAGACTCGGGAACATCGACGATATCGGCAGCACCATCGTCAATGGCGTTGTCAGGAGTGGGAGAACCAGCCACCATGAGGGCCATGGAGAGCATGGAGACGAGGACGGAGCTGGTGAACTTCATTTTGAAAGTTTTGCTGGGCAAGTGAAAACTCGATGACTTGCTTGGTAGTGTAGAGAGGGTATGAGGGAATTGTATCTTATTGTTGAGTGTGATGAGGATGAGAAGGAAAGCCCAGATGAAGAGAAAAAGACGGTGCTTTTATAGATATTCAAGCCCTTGGAGACTGTGTACATGACTCTCATAAGACTCCTCATCATCAGTCATCGACACTGAGGGTCATCGAGACAAGAGCAATTGTACCCGCCCGTATTGATCGTAAACTTCACGCAGTCTCCATCAATCCTCCGCTCGATAGGCATATTGAAGTCACTTTGTGATACTATCTTGGTATGGTATGCATGGCACACAAGTCGTTGGGATAGCCACTTGAGAGTTTAGCAGAGAGCATACCGAATCGGGATAGGTGTTCCACCCATAGAAATATACAGGGCGAATGGTACCTGCAAACCACGCGACTTTGCATGACACAAGCTGCATGAGATGGACCTAGCCGGAATGGATCAACGGGCTGAGGCGACGGCGATCGGCATGTCTTGGGTCCAAGCCTCAATTCATCCAATATGCGTCTCTAAAAGCTCTCGCACTGCTATACTAAACGCGGAATGCGATGTATGCGAGGTTCTTTCGAGAATCTATGTCACTGTTCCCCGTTACTCTAGTTCAGCTGAAGGATTTTACTCCACACTTACGGAACACAAGTGCCGATAGCCAAGTAATTTCGCTTTACTCAACCGTTTCATGTTGCTCATAGCAATGAGTTAGTGGTATGATTGGATAGATTGAGTAGATGCTCTGACGAATAACCTTATTTGGACATGTTAGGCCCTTGTCTTACCCAAGCCATGGTACTTTTTGTATTCATCAACAAGCTGAAAACTCAGTAGTTTATTTAATGTGACGTATGCCATGATAACTTTGTTTGACCTAGACTAGAGAGGTAATTATCCGGTTAAAAAAGAGTTATGAACAGTGGTGAGACTCAAGTTTAGTGATCTCTCCTTGTAACTGCCGAGGAATCCCACCCTCAATCTGCGGGTCGGGAAAAAAGGCTCATCGGTGCGAAGCGGCGGCAGGGTGTCAGCGGCCCTTGCGTTACGTGCATACCCGTACGTAATGCGTCGGTCATCGCAGATCTGGATGGTTGGTCAATTGGTGGTCAGGGGCGAATTCAGTCAATGCATTAGGCATTGATTGACCTGGCTTCAGCTGAGGGTCTAAGCACCTTCCTACATGGTAAGCACTTCGAGGAGTATACCTTTCTAGAATAGAAGTCAGTCAGTTATCAGGATTCTCAGCCTAAGAGCAGGTAGTCGGAGTGGATGTGCGTTTAGTCTGTTCAATTGTGCCTCGCGAGGCCAAATGACATCGACCAAGTCTGTGCCACGCTCGGTTTCATCCAAATGCGATCAAGAACGGGGATGCCTTACACGCAGATGGGCTACTGCACGTCGCTAGCTTCCAGCTTGCTCTTCTGGTAGTATCACTGCGAAATGCCTGTGACGTGGGTGCATCTGTTTAATAGCTGTCGTTGGTCCAGATCCGACACTAGGCTTATTCATCTCAACCAACGGTACGCGGTCATGTATAACGAGATGGCAGTAACCCATATATTGATTAAAATCACTTGCATGGATGTAGACTTATTATTGGCAAGGCAGACTTTGGTTGTTATTTCGAGAGCAGCTAGACAACAGCTACTAGGTCCTATGGGCTACGGAGCACTCATACATATGCAGTACTTAACTTGACTGTGGAGGCATGATATCCTGTCTAGTATTGCCGATGAATACCACCGATTGAATCAGATATAGAGATCAAAGATTACGTTCTTGAAACTGCTGCTGGGCATTTGACATATAAAACTACCTATGGCTAGGGGCAGATGAACAACATAATTATTCTCGTCCGCCTACCGTAAGAAAGTAGACACTGCCTGCGGTGGTATTCACATTTGTCGGAGCTGCTAGATACAAAGCATCGTCTCCATCGGATCTTAATATCGCTTGAAGCCTCTGAACCTGCTGCCCCTTAACGGAAGCAAGCTCAATACTCGCCCAGGCTGTTGAAGACGCCGATCTCTCCAATACCCATGCACTGCCTTGCTTTTTGCAAAAATATATTCTGGCAGTCGTACCATCATGGGTGAACCCCAAGGCCGCTGTCGTATCGTCTGCAGAATATATGGTCTCTTGTGTCCACGCAGCGTTGCCTCGATGGCTGACAGATCGACGGATCTGCCACGTCCCACCTACCTCAGCTTGGAAGCGGAAAGCGTGCTGAACGAGGACAGTCCCTGCTGAGTTTTCGTATAGTGCCAGCTTTGCGCTTTGCATCATTGGCGGTGGCGCAGAATCGTCTCCGTAGCTCTCCCCCGTCGCCAGTGGCTGGAAGACCAAGTTTGCTGTGGCCTGCGTGACGGGCACAGAGACGGCCACACCATCTATGGTCTTGAATACTCCTGTGGAGGGTCTGTACCGTAGGTAGCTGCCCTCGTGCCGTCCCGCCGATGCTGGATACTTGGCCCATTCCCACTGAATATGGACATCGCCGTCTGATGAGAACTGCAGGTCGTCTGGGTAGATGGAGTATTGTCTGTTATATGCGAAGATCGCCACCCGAGCCCATGTTTTTTGCGCTGTATTGTAATGATACAAGTATCCTGCACGACACAAGCCATCACCATTGTACCCGCGGATGATAAGCCAAAGATCGCCGGCTGCGTCTCTTTTGACAATTGGATATGTGAATAAGAGGCTTTGGTCGGGAAGCTCGCTACTTGCGTTAATGATCTCTGCCACGCTATAAGGAGCTTGAGACCGATAGTAATTCCATTTCGCATGGTGCATGGAGGTAAACACGTGAACGTAGCCGTCACCGTCAATAGCAATGCTTGGTTGATTATGCCCGATGTTGTCAGCGAAGACATCGCAGGCTCCCGATGCCGTTTTCACACAGCCTCGCAAAATCCCCCCGGATGAGATATCCCGTCTGGCGATCATCACGTTGTTGTTCGAGACTGATCCCCCTGATGGGTTCACGAGATATGCGAGCCAGGAGTAACCGCCAGCTTCATCCAGCGGACTCCACCATGCTGCCGCGTTAGAGGAGTCAGCGGCTTGTGAAACAGTGACAAGAGAGCTAGGTGTAATGGCTGCTCTCAGTCCGGTAGCTGTCGCCACCACTATCGCGGCTGTGGATATCTTCATGTTGGAATAGGGCTGGGTCTATAGCACGATGAATGGAAGGTAGAATTGTGTCAAAGGATGTGAGGGCTGATCTCACACCGCGTTATTTAAGTATTGCTTCGCCCCTCTCGTTACATCGGCCAGGCCAAGTTTTATGGACAGGTACAGTTACGAAAAGCTGTTTTGAGTGGATGCACCCTCTCTCCCTTGTCATTGAGAAAATAAAACCGGTCCATGGCCTGACAGCTGCATTGTTCGAACGAATCGGGTGGGATCTTTGCTCCTACGAATGGATACTTAATCCACTGATGCCAAGTGAGATAATGTGAAAACAACGTCCTACCCAGCAATAAAATATCGTTGGAGAGATACTTTAAACCTTTAGTATCTGTCACGGCGAATTTCGTTCCTCATCACTGTCACAAAATGTGCGGATTGTGCACGTATAAATCTGCTTGTCGCTAAGAAATCTCGAAAATGACCCATATTAGAAGTAGCCGTTTAACAGTTGACCACGTAAACTGCCCATTGGTATTTCACGGCGCATTGATTTGAGAAAACAAACTTGTATTGTAGATCGCAAGCCATATAGATTGAGTAAAGCATGTACCCTTTGCATTCCTTAAACTGGTCTATAGCGCAAGGTGTTAAGCACATGGCGATCTCTTGTCTTAGAGATAGACAGCGACCCAAGATCTTTAAGATCACGGCTGGTTCTGGCCCGTGAATTTTGATCATTATGAGGGCAGAGCAACGAAGCTGTTCGCTGAATGAGCTTTGAGACCGTTCGTGGACAAGATTGGCTTGATACTTGTTGATAATTTTGGTGGAAGGTGACGAGGCCGCCTTCTTTAATCCAGCTGTCACAACGACTCTCAGCTTCCGTTGGATAGAGACATTATTAACTCACATGAAAAATCTAACAGCGAAAGAAATTCAGCTGGAGACTGAGAATTATGTTTTCGTCACTAGTGTCATCCAGGTTTGTTGGCTCATTGGCTCAGTCTTCTCGGATCAACTCAAGCAAGTAGTTAACGCTCTTAGACTTGTAACTACTGTGGCGAGATTGGCATGGAGAACTTGATACTGTGAAGAAAGAAATATCGACGAGGTAGCGAGGAAGGGAGTAAAAGCACGGTTTTCCCATAGGCGAAATATCACTTTTGTGGGAACTTATGGTTAGCATGTTCATATTCACCAATCTACACCATTGGTGTGAGTGTGAATTTTGTGCTAAATTGCATTTGGAGAATTACGCCGCTTATTGAAATAAGCTACAAACCAAGCTTTTGTTTGAATCGATGGGATAGAACAGGAAATAATGCACTGGCTTTTACAATGAGATAAGTTTTCGTGTAGCAGGCCTTCTGTACGCTGTACAGGAGAAGGCCCCTAGCATCTACTACAAAATTATTTCCCAGAAAGTGTGATAGAAATCACAGCCCTGTCAAGATGGGCAGTCACTCCATGCTGCCAAGGCCAGCAACCGCGAGAGATTTCTGCACCAAGGTGGTTGGCTCTCGTCTGGTCCGAATGCGAACCATTTGCCTAACTGCAAATTCTACTTTTTGAGGAACGTATATAGCCGAGGCTAGGCTAGGTTGTAGCAAAAACGGATAAAGCTTCGAGGTTGAATTGCCCTCCAAGCCCAGACAAGAATCGCTTAAGTTTCAGCCCCCAAAGAGGCAAGCCCCATGCAGTAAGACAACGGATACGAGGTATCATCAAGATCAAACGGCGTACATCGACCAATCAAACCGGACCACATCTACAACAGATGAAGGGTGGCCCAAGCCTCTATCTTGGGGGTCTAAT